GCTGCCATCAGCAATTGCTCCATCATGGTTTTATTTTGCTTTAACAGCTTTCAGCATTAATCTGATCCGTAATACCATGATACTAAGCACTGAATACTTTAGCTCATCCATGATCATGATTTTCGCACAAGTCCTGTAGGATGTAATGAAGATGTCAACTGCCATGATTCCACACTAAGTCATGGCGTCATCAAATTATAACCTTGTTATTTTTTTATTTTTTTTTGTGATTACATGCCCTCTAGTTGTAAAGGTCACATACTGTGCCTTTAATGTAAAAGTTGGAACAAGCAACAACTTTAATGTATTTATGTCCTGAATGCTAACTGTTTGGGTTGTTAAGCACCAAAGTTTAATACTTAGTCTTTCAACTGCTTAACCCAGTGCATGAGTGCTAGTTAAAGCACCATTATAGGATGGGTGTGTCAGGGAGAAAAGGAGGACTTGTAGGAAGTGCAGAGGACATTTATGCGGACACATCTGTGCTCAGCATATTTATTCCTTCGGGAGCTGCGGCTCGTGTGCTCATCGATATGGAAATGTCCTGAATCTTTTTCTGTCTGAGTTTCGCTTCCTGCAAACACAGGACTGCACACTCACTATATGATCAAGTTGATGTAAATGGGTTTCATTTACATCATGTATTTGTGAGTCAGCTATTTGACACTGACATTCAAGCCTTCTTTAAACAAACACACAGATGCCGGATGCGTACAGTACATGCTGTAAGGTCATTCAAGCTAAATCACTGAAAACAGAGAGGATGAGTCTATAGCCATAAACAGAATTTACAGCTTTGAAGGACTGTAATGCTACACACATGCAGTAAATCTCATGTGTTGTGGCAGAACAAATGGCTTGCTAGAGTATCATTTTATTGGGGTCATATGCCTGAAACCTTTAGCCTGTTTATTTCCCCCCTGCATAACCTTCTGCTGTCTCTTTCTTCTTTAACAACAAGGACTCCACTTCACGTTTGAGTTATCGCACATAAACCCTTTGGACGCTTCATTTCCCTCTGTTAATATTTTTATGCAAATTTTGTTTCATTTAAAGCCTCCTCTGAGGCTACCACTGTGTCTGTTCTGGTTGATTTTTTTTATAGCAAGTATTTACATAAGATAACATCAGACTTTTTTTTTTAATTTTATCTAATCTCTGTTTTTGTTTAATGTAGATTTATATCAAAATAATTCATTTTATATGTTCTATTATAAAAACAAAAACCTAATCTGCCTTTTAACAAAAACACTCTCTATGTACTTGTCTATCGACTTACTGGTAATTGCTTTTTCTTTGTAAATTACTTCTATTGTCCACAAATTAATTTAGTTAATTTGTAAGTTAATTTAGATAAATCTACCTGATGATTAAATTTAATTTTACCAAGTCACCTAGTCTGCTGTGCTTATACAGTGTGTTTGTATATGTGACGTTATACAGCCATATCACACTGCTATGAGTGTGATATATTGTTTATAAAAACGTTTGATGGCAAGCTAGTGCTTGAAGGATTATCCTGCATAATGTCTAAAGTGATGACAAAACAGGTGATTTTGCTGACATTTTAAGATTACAGATTACTGTAGTGCAATTGTAGTACTGTACTGATTACTGCAATAAGGTAAAACACTAAACAAATGCAGGCACATAAAATCGCTAAAAGGGGCTAATAATTTTGTCCTTAAAAACTGCTTTATAGGTGAAATATAACAAATGAGACTTTCTCCGGAAGAAAAATAACTTTCAGACATACTCTGAAAATTTCCCTTGCTCTGTTAAACACCATTGGGTAAATTTAAAAAGGAAGAAAAATAAAGGGGGGCTAATAAATCTGAATTCAACTATTCAACTATAGTTATATATATGTTTACATAACATAATATGTTAAAATTAGAATATAAAGAAGTCATAAACATCGATATTGAGCAATCAAGACATTTTTTACTTTATATATATTATTTATGAAGCCAGATTTTTTATTTTACTGTGTGAAAATGCAAAACCAGGCCAACAGCAACAGAGCTTCATTCAGTAATCCCAAATGAGTCACACAAACTGCTAAGGCTGAACTGAAATGATCAGAGACCTTGGTAAAAATAGACACCCGCCACTTATTTCTAAGGTTGAGATATTTTAGAAGCATCAGCACAATGTTTGCTGGACTTGTTATCAGCATACTAAATGTACGAAATGTAATCTTCTGATTCTGGTAAAAGAATAACAAAATGATACTGACTAATTGCATCGTATTGTGGTGCTTTATAATTTTCCTTCTTTATCATGTGCTTATTTTGTCAGGCCAGATCAGAATCAGAAAGAGCTTTATCAAGTTGCTGAATAGGCGTACAGTTGACGTGTACAGTACATGTGGGTGGTCATGTGTGAATGTTTTCACTGTTGTGCTGTCAGATTTCTCAACAGCCTGCTTTGTTTCAGTCAGTGTTGTTATTGTTGATTAAAACTAATTAGGTATTGGGTTATTTATTGAAATAAGATAAAAGATAAATATTAGAAGAACCTAGACTGTAAAAATAATAAAAAGTAATACAGTAAAAAGCTATCTTCCCAGCAAACAATTTAGTGTTTAATAGACGTCTAAAAGACATTTAAACTTAGACAGCTTGACTAAAACAAGGCTAAACTTGGCTGTCTGAGAAAATCTAATAGACATCTAAGAAAAGCCCAAAACTAGACTAGTGTTCAAATAGACAGATTAGACAGACTTTATATGTGTAGTTTCTGTTCATTCATTTCTGTTTATTTGATGACTAGTCTAGTTTTGGCCTATTCTTAGACGACTATTAGATTTTCACTGAAAGCCCATATTTAGCCTTCCTTTTGCCAAGACGACTATGTTTAGATGTCTAATAGACATCTATTAAACATCTGTTAAAAACATGAAATGATTACTGGGTTAATAAAAAGTAAAACTTTTCTCTTTATATATTTGGAGACTATATCTAACATCACATTTATTGCAATGCTGCAGTAAAATAAATAGCAGTTAAATCTACAATTTTTGTAGAAACCTTGTGATATTACTGTCTCAGAATTGTAACACATTATATTACTCCTGTATTATTTTTGAGTTATTTTAAATAAAATAAGTTATTTTTAAAACAGAAACACTTTATTTTAATGGTCCATTTGAATATTAGTAGACGTCTGCTTAATATCTGTTCATACTGTTCCTTCAACAGACATTCAAGTACATGTCAACTTAAACTAACCCTAACCCCAACCCCAACCTAACAGTCTACTTATAATCTAAGGAGATTTAGTTGGCATGTAGATGCAAGGTAACTTAAATTCAACAAATGGACCATCAAAATAAACTGTGACCAGAAATAGTCCTGCATACTTCTTAGAAGGAACATACAGCACTTCTGCAAGGACCCTGAGAAAAAAAAATCAGTAGGATATCTGCAGGAGTCCTGCACATTCAAAGGAAACATTTCTAATGTATAGTGAATGTGCAGGACTCCTGCAGGAATCCTAAAAGAAACATTCAAGAATCCTACAGTGAATGTGTAGGACTCCTGCTGGAGTCCTATAGGAAACATTGAGGAATCCTACAGGGAATGTGCAGGACTCCTGCAGGAAACCTACAGGACACATGCAGGAATCCCACAGGGGGAAAAAAATGCAGAAATCGCGTGCAGGATATCTGCAGGAATTCTACAGGAAACATGAAAGACTCCTGCTGGAATACTACAGGACACATGCAGAACTCCTTCAGGAATCCTACAGGAAACATGCAGGAATCATACAGGGAATACCATCTTACACATTTCCTAATTGAAAGTACATCGTATTTATTAGTTATTTTCAAGATACTAGTATTCAGTTTAAAGTGCAAATTAAAGCCTAAATGATTTTATCTGTTAACTAGACATGAAGGTGTCCTACAGGAATCCCACAAGAAACATAAAAATTTGAATAACTAGGCAAGTAACTGTAGGTTAATTAGGCAAGTCATTAGATAGCAGTGGTTTGTTTTGTAGACAATCAAACAAATACACTAGATATTCAATATAATTAATCTTTATTTCTATTTACATCTTTTACCATGTAGATTACAGTATGTCAAAGCAGCTTCACATACAAATTCTAGCAAACTGAAAATTAAACTGTGAGAGTCCAGTTTTCAGAGTTAACGTTCAATTTAGTTCAGTTCAGTGTGCGTGAATTTTCTCTGCTGAAAGTCCAAACACTGAAGAGCAAATCCATCCATGCGCAGCTCCACAAGTCCCAAACCAAGCAAGCCAGTGGTGACAGCAGCGAGGAACAAAACTTCACCAATTGATGAAAGATATAAGAGGAGTAATAATTTTGACCATAGCAGTTTTTAATCTGAATTAAATATTTTAAAAATCAAGTCAAACTACATTAAGACGTATAATAAAAGTAAATAGTGATAAAAATGTATAATAGGAAATTCTCAAAATGCCACAAGAGGGCTATTAACTGGATATTAGTATTTCCCTTCTCAGCTTGTGTAAAAGTTTAATTGTGTGACTTTATTTATTTTTTTATTTTTTTTACAAAAGTACAAATATCGGAACTTCAATAATAAACTATTACATCAAGTGTTTTTAGAATGTTAAAATGTCCATGATACAACACTATTTTTAATGGCACTTCATCTGTGACTTGCCATAAATGTTATCCTATTTCCCTTTTCCCCTCCCTGTCTCCTCGTCTGTTTGTGTCTTGTCTCAGGTCATGTCGCTCCTTCATAACGGTGCCATGTAGTCGACATCTAAAGTGATCTAATTCAGTCCCCTCCGTACACCTTCAAACAAACACACCCACACACACACATGCTCGGCAGGCATTTAGCCTTTATTTCTTTTTCCTACGGCCCCTCCATTAAGTCTCACTCAATTGATTCAGTTATCTAACACTAATCTGTGTTGATATGACAAGAGATTGTCAAACTCCATCTGCATCTGGATCACTCAATTCCCTGTTTTTTCTCTCTCTTTCTTTCTCAGAGGCTCACTCCAGCGCAATGATGTTCGGCTGTTTGTATCTGGAGCTCTCCGTTTCCCTGGACCACCGCACCAATGATCTCCTGGAAGCGGCTGTTAGAGCGGCGAGGGGACATAGTCTGGGGCCCGGCTGGACAGAGGGTTCCCCCTCTGCAGCACGCAGAGAGAGCTTAACCAGCAGAGCCAAACGCTTTCTGTCAGGGCTTGTCCCGCGTTCCCATCTCGGCCGAGAAAGAGACCGGGAGCCTGGCAGAGACAGAGACCTCAGCAGACACCGAGGAAGCCGAATGCTCAGGCAGAAATCCCGTTCATGTCACGACCTCAGCGCTTTAATGTGAGCCAAAATGGCCGAGCTGCATGTAGGATTGACAGGTGAGGAGATGAGAGAGACCACCGAGGAGATCATTATTATCTTAAACTAGTATGTGTGAAATTAGTTGTTTATACCAGTCATTGAACGTGACGGTGGTGCAGAGAAAACTAGCAGTGTATAAACTATCCCTGACCTTTGAGAGGCCTGTGAAACGGACAGAGCGATGAAGATATGGTAGTGGATGTCAGGATAATGAGGATCTAGTGCTGGTTTTGGCAGGCTGTTAGCGCTGATAGAGTAGCTCCTGTTGTAGTCCCTGTTGAGAAGCATGTCGACACAGAACGGATGCAGAACTGTAGTAAAAGTTCTTTAGAAAAAAAAATATTCTAGAAATAAATGAAAAAGGCCAGCTGGCTCTGAAATGATGCTTTAGTTAATGCATGGATTTAGATTTTTAGCTTTTTTTTTTTTTACTCTACCCAAACAATGATGGCACATTTCAGATTTATAAGAGCCAGATGTGGTGTTTTATTGGTCAATAGGGCTGCACAGTATTTGGAAATAAACCAATATTGCAGTGTTTCGTATGTCTGCATTATGAAATGTGCAGATGCTCTGATCACTTTATTTAGAAGAAATGCATCATTCTACAATGATTTAGAAGTTTTTGAGTGCATCTGTGTAGGAAAAAAAAATTTTAAAAGTCTTTTTAGTCTGAAGGTTTGCAAACACAACACTAACATTTCAGTGTCTTTATTTGGTAAAACTAGTCATGTTTATTTTGTTACTTGCTTTAGTTAACATGAACTATTTGTGAAAAATATGTCTGCAGAATTCATTGATTTATTATTTAGTAATTGTTAGTTTCTACATTTACTAAGAGAACTCTTTTTGTGGATAATATATTTGTTAACAATAGTTAGTACGTTGTGTACTAATGAGAAAAAAAACATTATTTCGCTACATTTCTCAGTGTTAATTCATGTTATCTAATGCATCGTTTGTTGTGTTGCCTTTTATTTCTTCATTTGATTTGTAGACAATGCTGTGCTTCACTCTGAAACATGCATTACATATAAACTACCTGACAAAAGTTTTACCGCCTGTCCATGTTTTAGGAACAACAAATAATAATTTGACTTCCAGTTGATCATTTGGTATCAGAAGTGGCTTATATGAAAGGCAAAGGCCTCTAGATTACGCCTTTTTTACCAAAAGATAATAATATCATGCCTTGAAATTTAATTAGGAAAGTAAGGTCTGACTTTCTTAGACAAAAGTCTTGTCACTTAACAGAGATAGTGTACAGTATAGAATATAAAGTCATGGTGCAGTGGAAAAAGGTTTATTACTGTATATGACTCCCATGAGCTTGGACGACTGCATCCATACATCTCTGCAATGACTCAAATAACCGTTTTAATTAAGTCATCTGGAATAGCAAAGAAAGTGTTCTTGCAGGACTCCCAGAGTTCAGCAAGATTCTTTGGATTCCTCTTCAATGCCAATCCTGGAGCTCATTGACATTTTTTTGCTTTCAGGAACTTTATTTGGAGGCTAAAGTATGAGTAGTGCTATCCTGCTGAAAAAAGTTGCCCTCTACTGTGGTTTGTAATGTAATGGGCAGCACAAATGTCTTGATGTTGCCATCCACTCTGCAGATCTCTCACACACCCCCATGCTAAATGTAACCCCAAACCATGATTTTTTCCTTCACCAAACTTGCCTGATTTCTGTGAGAATCTTGGGTCCATGCAGGTTCCAATAGCTCATCTGCAGTATTTTTGATGATTGAGATGCTGTTCAACAGATTCATCTGAAAAATCTACCTTCAGCCATTTTTCCAAAGGATCAACTAGAAGTCAGGTTTTTAGTTGTTTCTCTTACAACTGGGATCGATGACAAAACTTTTGTCAGGTAGTTTATTAAACCAACATCAAATAAACTCTTAAATAAACCCATTTTTAACTGACCATAAAGACAATCTGAAAAGAAATTATAGGTGAGGCCACAATCTTGTTGTTTTTGACTTATTCAGTTTGACTGGCTATGATTTTTATTGTGATTTATAGTAGATATAAGTGCTAAACAAAATAAAGATATAGGCTATATAGTAAAAAAGTAGTAGTATTATTACAATATATAGTATATAGTATAGTAGTATACGATGTTAATACTTATGTCCTAATTGTGTCATTACGTCTTAATTTCTTCATAATTTGCTACTGTGTAGATAAACAGTGTCATGTTTCACTTTAAAACACAGCGCATAAATGTATTTCATTGAATAAAAACCCTGGTGATTATTTTTCCGATATTTTGTGCAGCCCTATTATTCGACTGCTAACAGGAATAATGTCTTAGGAGGTTTCGGCTCTGAGAAAACACTGTGTCCTAACCTGATGTAGTCTCACTTAGACTAGCATGTCTAGAAGAAGAGAAAATCAAAACATTATGTTCAATTAGATAATACAGTTCATTTATTTTAACACCATTTAGGTGTGAGTTTGTCTGAAATAGATTATTCCACAACAAAAGACAGCTGTGTAAAAAAAAATGCATACTAATGTTTTTACAGAAAAAAGAAAGACATGTATCTGATAATGTGTAAAATGTGACATTTTTCTCTTGAGATCTGTGAACCTGGCAAACTTTTGCAGAACCAGTGATTATTTCCTCATCAAAAGTGATCATTGGTACTTTGTAACATCGCTTAACTTTCTATCACAATATTACAGCCAATGGGAAAGTATTTAATGCTTTATACAGTTTTATGGTGCAGGGATTTTTAACTGGTTAGATGTAATTGGGAGTGGGGATATTTGTTGTCAGCACAGAAATGGGAAAAAACAAAACGGTGTCACTTAATTGCATCATTTCTGGTTAAGACATGGCGTTAACTCAATGTCAGTCAGCTGTTCTTTATGTAGATTATATAGTATATGTAACCCACGGGTCCTTTTGCACCCAACCCGGTCTGAGCTGCGATTGAACCGGCGATACTATAGTCGGTTTCTCTAACAAGGAGGCTAAAGACCATGGTCCCAGAGCACCTTTTGAGGTCAGAGCAGTGAGGTTTACTTGCATAGCACTTCGCTAGCTGGCCTCCATTACACTCACCTCCCTAAACCTCACTCCCATCCCAGGCGAGCCCCCACATGTAAGCAACTGGTCTTTCTGCACCCAAACCCAGTCTTAGCTAGGATGGAACTGTCAATTTTTTATATTGGAATCAGTTGCTCTTACAAGGAGGCTAAAGATCATGGCCCCTTGCTATTGACGCTAGAGCACTTTGGAGGCGAGAGGAGTGAGGTTTACCTGCATAGCACTTCGCTAGCTAGCCTCATTTATACTCTTCCCCCTAAACCTTACTCTTATCCCGAATGAGCCCCGACAAGTATCTAACCAGTATTTCTGCACTCAAACCCCGTCTGAGCTGGGATGGAACCGCAATTCTTTGTATGGGAGTCAGTTGCTCTTAAAAGGAGGCTAAAGACCATGGGCCCTAGCACCTTTTGAGGTCAGAGGAGTAAGGTTTACCTGCATAGGACTTTGCTAGCTGGCCTCCGTTACATATCCATACTGTATGTATGGATATGTAACGAGTCCAATATATATATTAATTCGCTAATCTTATCCAAATGCTAAATGTGTTGCCCCTCAAATAGAGATATTTCCTAATGCACTCTCGCATATGACACAGAAATTTTACGACAGAGAAATTAGCTTTGAGACTAATTGCAAAGCTTTGTTCAACATATGGGGCTGCATCAGCACAGAACTGTGGAGGAGTGATGATAATAATATTCAGAAGATTGTTTTATTATTATTATAGTTGTAGTACAAACAGCCGGCCAGTTGCGGTAATTGCGAATTGTACCTTCAAGGGCCTTGTTTACAAGCAGAATTAGCACTTGCTAAAACGGTTTGCATATGTGTAATGATGAATGATTGACGGGAAAAAGTGGCGTACAGCCGATTTAACATCCTTTTGAAAAAATAGACAGAATTAATTAACCTGTCAGAAATTTTGAACAGGGATACATTTTCAAACAGAAGCAATATTTGTGAATAGCTACTAATGATTTCTCCCTCAAACAAATCCTTACTTAAATGCAATCCTCGGCGCATAGTAATGACTTCAGTCAATCAGGACAAAAGTGCGTACTGAAATATTCACATACTATGAGAGGTGGTAAAATCACCTGCTAATTGATTGCTTTGGGATGTACGGTAATGGGACGTGTTGCAATGCAACAACAAAATGTTGTTATTCTTCTGATATTATCTTCAAATTAAAAGCGCAATTATATGCACTCGTAATTAAAATGTAGTGGGAGCAATTCACAGACAGTTATTTAATGAGCATAAAATAAGAAAGCAGGCAATATTAGGCAATCAGTGTTGGCAGAGAAAAGCAGATTGGTCTGTAGAGAGTGCTTTGATAGAGTCCCTTGAGTCCGTCTGAACAAACTCTAGAGAATAAATCGCTTATGTCCAATTGCCTCTGAACTCATTTGACACAATGAAAGCAAGCCATGTTCACACTCAAGTCTGTCCCTTTAAAACGAATAAACTGACTCTTTTTCTTTCATACGGGTCAACTGTAAAATAGCGTGTGGTCTTTAGCTGCAAACAGTAGCTAAATGTGAATCTCAGAGATCGAAAAAGGCACTTTTAATCAATGCCATATATAGCCCTGGTTTCAGGTAAAACTAGTACTTTAAATCTGCTTACACCTCACTTTCCTAAATAACTCCTTTTCACCAAAAAAAAAAAAAAAGAGAGCAGATGCTGGGAGAAGCAATATTGAGAATGGCCCACTTTGTCATGTACTCTTAAAGCGTGTACTGTGTGTTTCCCATATTAGTCTTGATCATGAGGCTTACTGTGATTTTGCTTGTAGAATATGAATGATTGGTTGATAGGAGCGTTGTTAAAATAAGGTCTGTTCCTATGACTTGCCAAAATGAATGCCCAGAGACATCTCAGGCCCTGATTGAGCCTGGTATTTTGTCAATATGATCACAAATGAAAAGTGGTGGACAAAGTACAAAAATCAAGCAATTACTTGACATCTAAATGAAATATTACTCCAGAAAAGTACAGACCTTTTCAATGTGGTCATGTCATTGGCCCATGAACATTTCCTGCTTGTTGTCAAACCTATTTCATAACTATAAGAAGAGGTCATTCAATCATAACTTAACATTAAAGTAGCTATTATAACATTATTAAATGTGGACCTTCTTGGAAGCTATGGAAAATAGAAATGTAAAACAGAAAATACTTGAGGACCATTGTTATTGTTTATGTCCCTCAAAATGGTATATAATTTCTTTTTTTTTTCAGGATTACAAGTATAAAAGCATAATTCTGTATTATTTATAAAAATTGTTAATTATTAACAGAACTTTTCACATACTAATAACTACTGTTGATTAATGTGTCAAACATGCAAAAGTAAAATATATCACACAGCCTAGTATTACAAAAAAATTATTAATAAATACAAAATTTGTGCATACAATAGAAATACAGTATATGTTATCAAAGGTAAGCCATGTTACAATTTTAACATTGTGTAACCAAAATAGTTTTGTGTCTATTATGTGCTACAGCATCAGAGATTCATTTGGATTATTTTTTTAAATATCATGTTTTAACATAAATTCTACCTGATGAAATCTAAATACGCAAATATGGACACGTTTAAGCACTTCATGTAAGCTAGGGATGTCCAAACTCAGTCCTGGAGGGCCGGTGTCCTGGAGAGTTTAGCTCCTTCCCTAATCAAACACACCTGAACCAGCAAATCAAGCTCTTACAAGATATACTAGAAACTTCCTGGGAGGTGCGTTGAAGCATTTGGAGCTAAACTCAGCAGGACACCGGCCCTCCAGGACAGAGTTTGGACACCTCTGATGTAAGCATTCCAGAATCCAAAAATGCAGTATTAGTACCTTACATTTTACACTATTCAATTTGAATCCATTTATCATTTCTGTAAATTACATGTAGACTTACTCTGACAGTATTGTTTGAATCTGAGTCGATAACTGCCAACTCATTCTAAATTTATCATTTGAATCAGAGTCATGAACTGTAGACTTTCTCTGAATGGATCGTTTGAATCAGTGAGTCATAAACTGCAGACTCTCTCTAAATGAATCATTTGAACCAGTGAGTTGTTAACTGCAAATTTGTTTTGTACATATCAATTGAATAGGTGAATCATAAACTGCAGACTTGTTCTGAACAGATCATTTGAATCAACAAGTCATAAACTGCAGACTCACTCTGAATGGATCATTTGAATCAGTGAATCATAAACTGCAGAATCACTTTGAATGGACGATTTGAATTGTTGAGTTGTTAACTGCAAACTCTCTCTAAAGGAATCATTTGAAGCAGTGAGTCATTATCTGCAAACTAGATTTGAAAGGATCATTTGAATCAGTGAATCATAAACTGCAGACTCTCTTTTAATGGATCAATTGAATCAGTGAATCACAAACTGCAGTCTCAGTATTGAATTGATTTTTGTCTCAAGAGCAGATGCAATCGGGTCTGTCCAATTTTAAACCATGTTGAAACCATGTAATGATTCTGTCTGCATTGGGCAATATCAGAATCAATGCATTAAGCAAGACTGATGCAAGTCATATGACATACCTTTTGAACATCATTTTTATCAACCCATTTCCCCCCTCTGGTTTTAAAGGTAGTCAGTCAGAATCAGTATAGTCAGTAAAATCAGCGTAGCCTTATTGTGAGGGTTACCACAAACTGATATGGCTGGAGTTGTATGAGTGTTTAATGATGATATCATGTGAGCCTATTAATAAACAAGAGCCATAAGAGGAGACACAGAGCCCACAGAGATGGTCTGTACTTTCACCTGTTCACATTTTAGACCCATCGACACATGATCTCATGAAATCCACTGAATATGCCATAGGACCGTGCATTTCTGTGGGGGCTGGCCACACAGGCTTATGCAACAACGTCGAAAACACAACGTTCTGGAAACGTTCCGAGGTCAAACATGGCAGCAGCATTCACTTGTTATTCACTATTGATGAATGTTATCCACTCTGTCTTTGAAAACGAAGAGAAATAAAGAGGATTTGTAATGATGCCCTGTCGTGTGCTTGTGGTTTGTCGCTGCATTTATGATTCTAACAACCCAACAGCTAAAGCCTGCAGTGATGCTCCTCTAGGTGAGGAACTATATTTGTATTTGAAAGGGTTTGATGGCTTCACTCTAAAGGCAGATGGTTGGAAACGGGACATGAGGTAAGAAAGAAAAGGGATGACAAATGTTAGTTGCCTAGCGACTGTTGTCAGGGAGACAGAGTGCGACTCTCCCTTGACCAGACTTAGAATTTCTTACTATGTTTATTTGTTCGACTGGGAATGAAATAGCTGGAGTGGAATGCGAGTCTGCAAACAGCCACATGAACGAATGGGAATATGCTGAAAAACACTTGATTGGTTGGAAACCGAATCAAAGGAATCTGGGAAAAGACACGGAATGAAAAGATCTGCATGAGTGCCTGGGCGAGGAACTCACAAAAATGTCTTTTCAGAGTGTGAAGCGTGAACACTATCATTATCATGAAAATGTATAATTTCCGTCTATTTTCAGCTCAGTTTTTTAGGACATTTCTTAGCTACCTGTGCTGCTGTAGAATTGTACATCAGTGATCACTAAAAAGCTTAGAAGCACAAATTGTAGAACTAAGAATGTGTTTTGTTGCACTGTATTCTGATATAAGCATTAAACGGTAAGGCTAAATTCTGCCTTCTTTAAACCAGATTCGAAAAATATCCAACTTGGAATGCTAACCCAAAGCCTTATACGTCATTATGATCCCTCTTCATTGTGCATGAGATTATCATACCTTCTGGGTACAAGAGCAGGTAATGCAAGACCGCAGATTCAGACTGAGTAAAGATATTTAAATCACAGAAGCTGGTCCTCTGGCTAAAATTTCAGAAACTGTGCCATTTGCATCGAAATCCATTTTTATTTTCATACCCAATGACTTTTGTTAGATATTTAAGCACCTAAACAGTTGTCAGACTCAATCTAAACACATGGAAGTATTGTTTGAAAAGCAATACTATTATTTTGGAGACTTTCTGGTTCTTATAAAAAGCACATCACATCATTATTTAGATACTGTGGGTCTTTAATGACAGAACAAAACATCCATAATTTTCTGAATCAAAACTAAATCACAATTTGTCCCAAACCCATCGTTAAATTCATACACTTTTATCATTGAAATAAATTACTTTTCTTGATTTTACAGAAGGTTCTACAACATTGGGTTTTGGGCATCTTTACAGTTCATTCAAATTCTGTCTCAAAGCACAGACTGCCATCTAGTGCCACTAATACAAAATGCCATCTAAATGAACTCAAGTGGGGGGATTCTTCTTCACTCAAATGCCTGGACAAATGCAAGATGATCAGATGGAAAACGATGTGATTGAAGCATATTAACAGCCTGCATTTGTAGAAATCATAATTTCCAAGTTGAAAACATCATCCATTTAAACTCTCTCGGAATGAATCAATGTATGCTGTTTTAGTTGATCACTCCTTTTGAATCCTTTCCCACAGTCTGAACACTGGTAAGGCCTTTCCTCGGAGTGCGTCTTCACATGTCGTCTTAACGTCTCTTTTCTTGCAAACTTCTTCCCACACTCAGTGCAAGCATGGTCCATCCGTCCTGAATGTTGGAGTTGGTGAGTAACCAATTTCCCATCCGAGTTAAAGCTCTCCCCGCACTCGAGGCACACAAACGGCTTCTCGTCAGAGTGTGCCATCTGACGGTGCTTCTGCAGGTAGGACATGGAACTGAAACTCTTCTCACATTCATCGCAGTAGTACATTTTCTTATTCCCAGAGTGACCCTCCATGTGTAGCTTCAGGCAACTTGCTGAGCTCAGGCATTTCCCGCAGTCCGTGCACTTGTAGACTTTGATCCCTGCATGAATGTCTTGATGCCTTTTCAAGGTGTCATGGCGAGTGAAGGTTTTGCCACAGGTGGTGCAGTCTAAAAGGGTCTTGCTGGAATGGATTATCATGTGGCTCTTGAGAGTAGAGGAGCACTTGAATGCTTGGCCGCACTGAGAACAGCTGTAGCTTCTTTCTTCAGTGTGCACCACTGAATGCGCCTTGAGATTTGCGCGCCTAGCAAAGTCCCTACCACACTTCTTGCAGTGGAAGGGCCTTTCTCCAGTGTGCATGACCTGGTGGGACTGCAAACTGTTCTTAAAGCGAAACCTCCTGTCACACTTAGGACACTTGTAGGACTTGACTTCAGAGTGTACAGCAAGGTGTCTAGTTCGATCTCCGGAAGAAGGGAACCTTTTTCCGCAGTGTTCGCAACTGTAGGGTTTCTCTCCGGTGTGAAGACGCTCATGCAATTTGAGGCTGTTGGGATGCTTGAAGGACTTTTCGCAGTATGTGCATTTGTGCGGGGATTCCGGGTAATGGATCTTCAGGTGTGACGTGAGGTGGCTCAGCCTTTTGAAGCTATTATCGCAGTAGGTGCAATGAAAGGAACGTTTGTCTTGGTGAATAGTCTGGTGAACATTGCATTCTTGCTTCCTCAGGAATCCCTTCCCACACACAGAGCATTTGAACGGCTTGTTGCCTGCATGGCCATCCAGGTGAACTTCCAGCTCAGCCTTGAAGATGAACTTCTTGTCACACTGCGGGCAAGGGAAAGGCCTCTCTCCGGTATGGGTTGCCCTGTGGGCTCTCATGGCTGCCGCAGTGTTGAAAAGCTTCCCACAATGATCACACTGATGGGGAAGGTGGCCCATGTGTAACCGCAAGTGGGTGTTTAGGGTACTTCTTCGAGAAAAGCTCTTCCCACATTGCGAGCAAGAAAACGGTTTCTCTCCTGTGTGGCTCCTCAAGTGATACTTCAGTGCACTCTCCCTAACAAACTTCTTCTTGCAGTAAGAGCAGTCAAACAGCTTCTCACCGGTGTGCAGCCGCTCGTGCATGGACAGCTCATGTCTATCAACATAACTCTTTCCGCAGGTAGAGCATTGGTGTGGCTTCTGCAGGGAGTGAACCTTCTCATGGGCTCTAAGGTCAGACTTTCTTTCAAAGCTCTTGCCACATTTTAAACAAAGGTTGGACCTTAAAGATCTACAAGTCTTTGTGGTTGAAAGATGTGGAGGCTCTCCAGAGTCATTGGGTTCCATTAAAACAGAACTGGATGTAGGAACGGTGTCATGTATCATCAAGTCTCTGTGTATTTCTTCATTACTAAAAGCAGTAAATCATGCATTAATCAAATGCTTTTACAAGATGACTCGACGACAACACCGGGGTTTAGAGGCTGAAGTACCATTTTACATTTCAAGTTTTAAAATATTTATGTACTATGAGAGATTTTTGGAATTTCATCAGACTATGGTAGACTCACCTGACTTCATTGGATGGCTCCCTCTTAAGGAAGAAAAAAAAACAAGAAAAAAAAAAACAAGAACGTGTTTAAAAAAGGGGTTTTCTGGTAGGAAGATGTATGTTGATTTGACATCTTACCTTTACAGAGGAAATGTCTTCGATTGTAGGTGTGTATATAAGATCATCAATGCTTGTTTCCACTGGTTCATATTTGGTCTCCATCAACATCTGGACTATGGTAGTCATGTCCTCTTCTGTTTTGATTCTGGGAATAGTGCTCATTACCTGAGATATGGTTGTCTCCTCTAATTGCTGTTGAATTGAATTTTTATTTGACAGATTTTAGACAAGCGGTACAAAAATACAAGTATCCCATACAATAAAAAACAAAAACTGTCGAGGATAAAACAGAATGAAGCCCTGAGCTTGTTTCCATTTTGGTCCTCGCTGTTAAATAAAACAAACTATGGCTTCAAAAACTGTTGATGCATAAAACAAACAGAAGCTCCATTTTTTAAAACGGGAACAAAATTATTCACAAATACATGTATTACTTCATTAATTTATTTTCTTTTCCGCTTAGTCCCTCGGTTAATCAGGGGTCGCCAAAGCGGAATGAACCACCAACCTATCCAGCATATGTTTTACGCAGCGGAGGCCCTTCCAGCTGTAACCTCATTCACAATACAATAACATATAAAAATAAAACATTATCATCCACCATGCAAACAGATTATCCTCATCAAACAACCATCTTTAGATCACTTTTTTTTAAACCTTAAGTTCTTCATTTGATCGATTTTGGTAATTTGTTTTAGATGATTGCACTTGTATATAAAACATATTCTTCCCTACTAGACTTCTAAATTAAACAAACAAATATATAAAATCCCAACCCCTATTACTGCATGAATGCTGTTTCCTCACCATTTGAAAATAGTTCACTAAATAACTAGCAACCACATTATTAAACATTTTACATACTATTCCCGGTTTTAAAAAACATACTCTTTTAATGAGAGTTAACATACATTATTCTTTAAAAAAACGCTTTGTGCAAATGTGCTCTAGGACGATTTTTCCTTCATACTCTGTGAGCAGCTACTCAAAATAGGGTTGAATCTAAACTCCTGCCAATAATTTTAAAGAATGAACATCCAATAGATCAGCTTGCTTTGCTAAGAACATGATTCTCCCACATACAGTTGAAGTCAGAATTATTCGCCCCCCACTATGAATTTTTTTCTTTCTTTTTTTTAATATTTCCCAAATGATGTTTAACAGAGCAAGGAAATTTTCACAGCATGTCTGATAATATTTTTTCTTCTGGAGAAAGTCCTATTTTTTTTATTTCGACTAGAAATAGAATTTTTTAAACACCATTTTAAGGACAAAATTATTATCCCCTTTCAGCATTTTTTCCCCGATAGTCTACAGAACAAACCATTGTTATACAATAACTAGCCTAAATACCCTAACCTGCCTAGATAACCTAATTAAGCCTTTAAATGTCACTTTAAGCTGTATAGAAGTTTCTTGAAAAATATCTAGTCAAATATTATTTACTGTCATCATGGCAAAGGTAAAATAAATCAGTTATTAGAAAACAGTTATTAAAACTATTATGTTTAGAAATGTGTTGAAAAAAAATCTTTCCATTAAACAGAAAATGGGGAATAAAATAAACAAGGGGGCTAATAATTCTGACTTCAACTGTACCTTCATAAAAAACTTTCTTGCCATAACATCTCCAGATCATTTATCATCTATTAAACGCCCCAAATAATTTACAACATTTTTTGACTCAATTATCAAAATCATTAATCCTAACCACAAAAAATCGTCATTTATATGATAAAATGTGATGGTCTACCATGTCAAATGCCTCCTGAAGGTCAAGCTCCCCTACAGCTCCCCCATTCTATCAGTCATATTTAATATGTAACATGATATGCAAGCATAGACATGTGTGATCCTGGACCACAACACTAGTCAAAAGATAAAAAAAAAAAAACAGATGTGTGCAACAAAATAAAAATGTTATTTTATGCAAAAAAGAATAGATTGTGTGCCATAAAGACATCTTGTAAATGTCCTACTGTAAATATATCAAAGCTTGATCTTTTAATCATTAGTAATGCGCATTGCTAAGCAATAGGTTTAGACTTTAAAAGCAGTTTTCTCAGTATTTAGATCTAAACCATCAGATTTTATACTTTCAAATCTTACATCAATAAAAATCAAACATCAATCTCAACTTTAAAAAAAGACACCTATGACTGCTTTTGTGGACTAGGGTCACACAGATTTCACAAGTTTACACATATGTAAACACAAATAGTGAAGTAGAATTAATATGCATGCTTCTGGGAAGGTCTCTGCCCTAGATATAACTTCATTAAGCAAATATTTAAATCCAGTGTTTGTCAACCATGTTCCTGGAGGACCACCAGCTCTGCACATTTCCCATGTCTTAATCAAACACACCTGACTGAGATCATCAGCTCATTAGCAGAGACTGAAAGATCTGTAATGGGTGTGACGTACAAAGGAGACATCCAAAACATGCAAGGTTGGTGGTCCTCCAGGAAAGTGGTTGAGAAACACTGCTTTAATCTAAAAGATCTACATTGTATTCCAAAATTATAGTAGTAAAATATTATTGGATCAGTGTCAGAAGTTTCATAAGTTACGTTCACACTACAGGCAAATGCGGTGCAAATCAGATTTTCTTTTGCCCACATGAGACTCAGATTTTGTTTTGACAGTGTGAACAGCTCAAACCACATGGAATCTGATCATTTCAATTCAGATTTGTTCCACTTTCATATGTAGTATTAAAAAAGATACATATCTGACGTTTTGCAATGTGACCGCATTGTGAACGGTTATGTAAGATTTCAAGCCACTTTTACACAATCATTATGTGTCATATTCTGTGCTGTAAACATCATCTACTCCTCAGCAGCATAGCAGAATAGCACACAGAGCAAATACTTTACTATAAAAAGTTGGTTGTTTACATTAGAAAAAAAATTGGAATGCAAAACTGACGCTTTTTAACCAATCATTAACCATTAACCTTTCAAAAAAAATACCATTCAGCTAGACTTAACATCAAAGTTTGTTCATAAAAATGGCGTATATAAAATGAATAAAACACATAGGCCTACAAAAAACAGCTACATTTCACTTAAATAATGAATACATTAACAAACCAAATATGAAAGATTATGATATGAATATGAAAACTTCACAGTTCAATCTGCCACTGCTCTTTAACCCTTGATGAGTTCACCACACTGGCGGTCAGAAAGGCGCACACAAAATCACAAATGATCAGTGTTTTCAATCATAAAAGACCTTATTTTAGGTTTCAAATGGTGAAATACATATTAGTAGTAGCAGAACAACTCTATACAGATCATAAAATGCCCTACAATTGTCTGTGAAAGAAGCAATAATCATATTAAACCTAATCTGACAATGTGCTTACTTCATACAAATATAATTAGCCATTTTGTGCTGTCCGCAACTGTAATTTTGCGCGTGCGTGTCAGTTTAAGATCATCTGTTCAAACTGGAAATCTGATATTGGCAGATTAGAGAAGCCTTGCAGTGTGAACGTAGCCTTATACAGCAGTTAATAAGCATTATAGTCAGCTAAGAACTTTAAAATGTTCAGCCATATATCTGTATAAACCATTTTGAGAGATGTAAACAATAACAATGGTCTCAACGTAATTCAGGTTTCACATTTTTAATTTCCATAGCTTCGAGAATCCCAACGTCCACATATTGATAAATATTGTTATGATGGCTGTTTTAATGTCAAGTCATGATTGAATCGCCTCTTGTTACAGTTATGAAGTAGTTTGACAACAGGCAGGAAATGTTCATGGGCAAATAACATCACCTCATTGAAATGATCTATTTAATTTTCAATATGATTGTGACCATAACTGCTAATAACCGATTCTTTGCCTGCTTGACTTGGTTTTTCCTCTCTGGAAAGTGACTTAAATCATGGATAGTCTCCCAAAACTAAAAATAATTCTGTCATGATTCACACAACCTGACATTTTTTCAAAATTTGGCCATTTTTTTTTCTGTTGATCACAAAATGATATATTCTGGAGAAAGTTGGAAACCGGTAGCCATTAACTTTCATAGTATTTTTCACTACTATGAATGTCAACTAATTGCCAGCATTCTTCAAAACATCTACTTTTGCATCCAATAGAATTATGAATCCTTTTAAACGGACATAGTACATTTGACAAATTAAAACAGATGATTTCTATTGTGCTATTTATTCCATAAAATACCAACATAGTTCAAAATAAACTTGAGTTAAATCTTTTTCAATTAGCTTAGTTCTCCTACTTTGCAGCTTTCATTAGAAAGTCCTGAAAATCTACACCTGGATCAGAGCAGACCATTAACTGTAACAGCTTTACGAAATCAAAATAAAAAGTGTGGCTTTTTCTTAAGTTAGGCACCAGAGCGGCTCACTTACCATTTCACTTTCCAAGTTCCCCACATGAAGTGGTTTGAAGTTGCTGTCTTGAGAGAATTCACCCTCTGAGGCAAAGCGAGAAATACTTAAATGATGAAGAAGAACAGAACAGCGTGTCTCCTTCAAACAAACAGGACACTCCAGGGACTTGTTGAGCTCCCAGTAGCTTTGTAGACAGTTTTTACACAGGCAGTGGAGACATCTTAGAACAACAGAGTCTTTTAAAGAAGTGCAAAGATAGCAGACAAGATGCGTGTCTGGCAAGATGGCAGCCATATTACTGCTTAAACAAGGTGGACAATTACATCATGATAACAAAAAAATAGATATAATTAATTGTGTGTTGACAACTAGTTGTTTTGTAAGTAGATCAAGTCTTTTACCAAACTTCTTTGTGATCTTCTCCATGCCACAGCTTCTTCCTCTTTGTCCAATTCAATGAGTTCAGCTGACAAATAGTGGTCAATCAGTAGCACTGGCTCCATCTAATGGACAGGATCATATTGAAAGAATGAAATGAAGCTTCCAGTGCACACATTTAACAAATAAAGAATACAACAAGTGTTATGACACAAATCAATCTTATTTATAGATGATAAACAAATTCATATGGGTCAATTTTGTAAAAGCGCTATACAAATAAAGCTGAATTGAATTGAATCAATTTGATACATTTCACTACACATAACTAAACTACACACTATACCAGGATCCTGATAGATTTTTTGTATGAAGCAAAAATGAAGGATAATGAGTCAGGGAGGTTAGACTTTATAAACCTAACTTTCGGCTATAAGTTGGATCTAAGACAACACAACAGATAGTTCTATAAAACATCTTTTTTTTTTTTTGTAGGCGATGCAGTGGCGCTGTAGGTGGTGCTGTCGTCTCACAACAAGAAGGTCAATGGTTCGAGCCTTGGCTTGGTCAGTTGGCGTTTCTGTGTAGAGTTTGCATGTTCTTCCTGCGTTTGTTACATGGGTTACATTTCCTCCGGGTGCTCCGGTTTCCCCCACAGTCCAAAGACATGCGGTACAGGAGAATTGGGTAAGCTAAATTGTCCGTAGTGTATGAGTGTGTGTGTGAATGAGTGTGTGTGGATGTTTCCCAGAGATGGGTTGCAGCTGGAAGGGCATCTGCTTTGTAAAACATATGCTGGATAAGTTGGCGGTTCATTCCGCTGTGGCGACCCCAGATTAAAAAAGGGACTAAGATGAAAAGAAAATGATTGAATGAATAAATCTTTTTTGTATTCTGTTGAATTATCTGTGGAATTTAATTCGAGTAAAATTAATATTCGTGCAAAAGATTTCTTAAATTATCTTAGCATCACTCCAGTTGTGTCTTTAGATTGTTTTCCAATTACATTTAGAATTAATTCTGTCATTTATTTAGAATAATAATTGTATAATAATAACAATAATACTGTTATTTACTTATAATTATATATACTAAACTACAAATGGAAAGCTTATTTCATCCACCTTCAAATTATATTTCAATCTCAATCTCACAAAACAGACCAATATGACTGGCTTTGTGGTCAAATAAATAGGACTAAGTAAATAATGCTCCTACTGCAGTTAAAATAGATGTACCTCTTCAAAATGGAAGAGCTTGTGGGAAGAAGCTGTTCCTAGATCTATAATGCCTGGTGAATGAGCTGGCAATCAGCCGGCATCAGTTCAAATAGATTGTGGACAAGAATGAGTCTGTGTTGATGGTACCTGACCTTGTTTTTTTTCCAGGGGGCTGGACAGGCAGGCATCAATAATCCTCTGTGCTATCCAGACTGCTCTTTTTATTCTGCTGATGTCTGATTTGGTCACCTAACCAAACTTGAACACAGGACAGACTCAATGACGGCTGAGCAGAACTGTGTCAGCAGCTTCAGTGTCAGGTTGAACAACTTCAGTTCTTGAAGGAAGAACAACCTTTGCTGGGCCTTTTTCACTCAATGTCCCACTTCAAGATCCTTCCATTGAACTTAATGAGTACAGACATGTCACGATCACATCTGTAGTCATCTTTTGAGTGACTGGTGTTGGCCAACCTAAAAGAACTGACTGGTATATTGCCAGATACTCAGTGCTTGCCTGCAGATGTAGATGATGCAATTGGAAGCAAGAACTTATTCGTGGACTTCATTTTGGCTTCCAGTACCATCAGGCCGGGTCTTCTGTCATTCAGACTGACCCAGTCTTGTCAGAGGATCTTCAGCTTTCTGACAGATAGGCAGCAGTTATTGAGGCTCTGGAAAACTCTCACTGAAAACCTTCTGAGGTTTGTAGGCTACACCACAGTCATCGCCAGCAATCATAACAACCTGGAGCTTAACAGAGCTCAAAATAGTGGAGATGATCAACTTCAGAACGGGCGACCTGGAAAGGTTGTTTGCAATGCAATCTCAGGGCAACTAGTAACTTTTTGATGTAGTGGTTAATTTTATAAATTTGTACAATCTTAAAGCAATCACAGCCTCAAATCTTTTTGAATATGATGCCACAAGCATCAACACATGTCATTGGGAATTTTTGCCCATTCCTCTTCGCAGTACCTCTCAAGCTCTATCAGGTTGGATGGTGAACGCATTCATCTTTCCCTCTATCCCGACTAGTCTTCCTGTTCCTGCTGCTGAAAAACAGTAGGGATTGTATTAGCCTGGTGATGAGCGGTGACTGGTTTTCTCCTAACTTAGGGCCTGGCATTCACTCCAAAGTGTTCAATTTTAGTCTCATCAGACCAGAGAATTTCGTTTTTTTATTGTCTGAGAGTCCTTCAGATGCCCTTTTGGCAAATTCCAGGCAGGAGTGGCTTCCGTTTGGCTACTCTACAATACAGGCCTGATTGGTGGATTGCTGCACAGATGGTTGTGCTTCAGTAAGGTTCTTCTCTCTCCACAGAAGACTGCTGGAGCTCAGACAGAGTGACCATTGGGCTATTGATCAATTCCCTGACTAAGGCCCTTCTCCCCGATCACTCAGCTTAGATGGCCGACCAGCTCTAGGAAGAGTCCTAGTGGTATGTCATACAGGTGTATGCCTTTTCAAATCAACTGAGTTTACCATTTCTGATCTCCATCTCAAGAATCAGTGGAAACAGAATGTACCTGAGCTCAATTTAGAGCTTTATGACAAAGGCTGTGAATACTTATGTACATGTGATTTTTCAGCTTTTTTATTTTTAACAAATTTTCTACCATTTCAAAAACCTTTTTCGTCATTATGGAGAATTGGGTGTAGAATTTTAAGGAAATAAATGAATTTAATCCATTTTGGAATAAGGCTGTAACATAAAACATGTGGAAAAAGTGAAGCGCTATGAATACTTTCCAGAAGCACTGTAGTTAAATTGTAGTGTAGTGAAAATTATTTCATCATTATGCATTCTCTTGTCACAAAGCTGTTTGAGTTTCTTTCTTTTGTTGAACACTGAATGTTGGTATAAAGACTAACTTCCATAATATTTGTTTTTATTTAAATTGTTATTGTTTATCACCCAAAAATTTCTCTCCCTCATTCCAGTGGTGGTACAGTATGTTCATAATGAGCCCAGTCTACCCTTGACTTCAGTTCCGCAAGTCTGAGAAAAAAAAAAAAAAAAATTGTGTCGTTTAAAAACTCAATGTTTTCTTCGTCTACGTAGCCGTCATCCAGATTGACGTCTGTGGTGTCGATGTCATCAAACTCCATGTTATTTAAACCATTCGTCAGTGACTACACAAAATCACAAAGTGAGGTTACCTAAAGTCTGATGCTGGGTTCCCGCCAAATGCGAAGAGAACTCATGGATCACTTCACTCGACCAGCTGAATGTTTTTCGTCTCAGGTTCAATTTTAGGAACTTTCAACAAAATAAGCAACTAAGATTACAACGGTTTTTCCTCATTAAGGGTGAACTATAATGTGTTTTATTCTATAATAATTTGAATTAATAATAATTTGAATTAATTAATAATTTAATTTCATGTTATTTTAAACTAGCAGCATAAACATTCAATTAAAATCACATTTTCTAAAATGTTCCTTATCTCCTTTTGTATTCTGTGGAGGAAAGGGAAAGCTTGCATGGTTGGAATGATACGAGGAAGAAGATATAAGACATAAATGTTTACTGCAGAGAGAAAACTAAAGCTTATAATGATGCTAGCAGAATCTTTTATATACTATAAAGCTTGAAACACTTTAAAACTTCTTCCAATTGTGGCAGAATATGTAGACTATTTATCAGCGCAGATAACAACTGCAAAACCACTGATGGGTATTTTGCTCAGTAACATCAAAAGGTAAAACAGGTATATTGCTGATGTATGGACGGTTTTTGTACAGTAGATTGCTTTAAACTTTTCTCACTATATTTTCAGATTTAAGCCCAAGGTAACTAAATACACAGACATTTAATAGAGTCAACTAAACATGCAAATCACTAGTTGACCTGATCTGAACATTCATTTTCTTATTAGCTTAGTTCCTTTATTCATGAGGTATTGCCACAGCAGAACGAACCACAAACTTATACAGCGTATGTTTTACGCAGCGTATGCGCTTCCAGCTGCAACCCAACACTGGGAAACACCCATACATTCTTAGATTCACATACACTACGGCCAATTTAGCTTACCCAATTCACCTATAGTGCATGTCTTTGGATTGTGGGGAAAAACAAGAGCACCTGTAGGAAACCCACGCCAACACGGGGAGAACATGCAAACTCCACACTGAAATGCCAACTGGCTCAGCCGGCACGCGAATCAGCAACCTTCTTGCTGTGAGGCGATTGTGCTAGCCACTGTGCTGCCCCCTGACCTGAACATTTATTTAAAAGTATAGAACAAAAATTTTTTTTTAAAGGTTATTTAAGCATAGTGCAGTTTTACTCTTGCTCTCTCTCTTTCTCTTTTTATATATATATATATATATATATATATATATATATATATATAAATAAATAAAATCTACTTTTTTGCTAGTTAGATTTACACAGTCATATTTAACATATTATTTTCTGTTTATTCAACACAATGCCATTTTATTAAATTAAAATAAAACTTATTTTATAAAAAAATAAATGTCTTTTTATAAAAAAAACAAACAGATTTTTAAATGAATGTGCACACATTAACATGCATTCTTTTGTTGTTAAACTATTGTAATTTCAAAGGATAGTTCACCCCAAAACCTATATTTTCTCATTATTCAATCACCCTCAAGTGGTCTCAAACCTTTGAGTTTCCTTTTTCCATTGAAAACAAAAGATTTTGAAGAATGTAACCGGTAACCATTCACTTTCATAGCAAGAATAACAAACACTATGGGGTCAATGGTTATAGATTTCCAATATTTTACAGAATATCTTTTGTGTTTAACAGAAGAAACTCAAATTACCAGAAAAAAGTGAGTAAATGACAGTTTCCACGACACTATCCCATTAACGAAGTACAAAAACAGAAACAATATAATGACAGTTCAATCTATTAGTATAGTAGTTATCTTTATTATGAATAATGGCACCATGAATTGTCATGGTCAATAAGTCTTGATGTACAGGTAAAATGTCAATTGAAGGTCCAGAAAGAAGTACAAAAAAAAAAAAAAAGAGATCACAGACATTTTTTTTCCATTGGTGGTACGGCCTAAAAAACGTGTTTATAATGAACCCAGTCCGACTTCAGCTCTGCATTTCTAACAGCAACGAAAAAACAAAACAAAACATTTGGTCACTTAAATAAACTCAATGCTTCAGTGCAGATGGTTTAGTCGTCTAGGAAGTCGTCATCCAGATTGACATCTGTAGTGTCGATGTCATCAAGCTCCATGTTATCCAAATCATCCTCAAGTTCATCGATGACCTTCAAATAAAAACAATAAGCGAGGTTACCAGAAGTCCGATGCTGTGTTCACACCGAACGCAAAAGAACACCCAGATCAAATCACTTGCTCTAGATTACTTGCTGGATGCGTTTTCACCGTAACTTTTTCACTTAAGTTACATTTTTGGCATTCTTCATCATTTGTACCACCTAATGAAAAACTGACCTCGATTTGAGCATGTGCATTGACTTTGTAAATATACATGCAAGTAGATTATATATATAATTCACACTGATAGAGAACTCAGCATGACACTGATTAAATGCAGATTGTGTCATCTCCAAATACCTTCTGTTCTGCTGCTGTAATTTCAGGAGTTTTTTCTTCTGTCTTCTCTTGGAGCTTCGGGTCAGGTTGGGACTGTGCAGAACTCACAGCAGACACTGATGAGACTGAGGCCAAAACCTCTTCATCCTCCGAGACCTCCTGCTTCAGCTGTTCACAGTAACACACAACTCATTTTATTAGTTCATGCAATAAGTGACAACACATTAACACACATGAACGCACACACGCACCTGTGTGGGAGCAGGGAGAATTCCTTTGGGTTCATAACCACTGGCCTCCTCCAGCACGTTCCTTTCTTCATTAGGCTTTAAAACAATGAAAGAATGAAATGAACTACAGTCATCTTAATAATTAAAAAAAGACTTATAATTGGGCAAGATTGATTTTATATTATATATGCTTTTTTAATTATAACTAATCTTAGCAAGAAATATGTAAACAATTGAAATGCAACAGTAAGTTCAAACAGTCACAGCATTTCCTTCCTTCTCATGGAAACATTAGGAAAGAGAGTTCCAGACCACAGCAGTAAGAACTTGGCCCTTTGTTCATGCAATTTTAAGGCTTCTACATTCATCAACAAGCCAGTAAAGTAGGTTTATGCTGTGCCACCTATATTGGATCTTGCAGTGCTGTTGCATCATGAGTCTGAGTAACGGTTTTTATTATGTGGTCACTAATGCTCTGTCTGTTATAATAGATCATTAGATATACACTCAGTGTTTATGCATTTTTAACCTATAATCACAACACTGTCCCTCTCTGAAGATGAAGTCCATCAAACACACATGCAAACGTTAGTGAGCACACAGTGGTTCGGTTGAACTTCAGGAACTTACAATCAAAATTGCTGACTTCATTATTTATTTATTTAATTAAACAATTGATTAAAAAATTTTGTTTAATTAAAAAAATGAAAAGGCCAATCACACTAGTGTTTATTTATTCCTAAACTTACAAAGTTTATTTTTTGTATATACTGTATAATTCTCGCTAACATTATAAGCACTCCAGTAGGGCGGCACGATTCTGGCTAAAATGTGAATCACAAATTTTTTTTGTTGCTTAAAATCAAGATCATGATTCTGTAAATGTAAAATAAAGGTTAATATGATTAGCCTATTTTTATTGTTAATTCTGAAATATATGGTAAAACAACAATAATAATATCAGGCCTATGTGTAATTCTACTGTTGCTTAAAATGCTCAATTTTGTATTCTGGTGGACTTGAACAGACTTTCAATATGTCCAGTTTGTTAATTCACAGTACAATGATGACATCAGAATACAACTATTTATAATTATAAAGTTGATTTATTGTTTAAGACGTGCTTGTCATCTGCCATTGACAACATTATTAGACCATTATATTTCCATTATATATAGGTTAGGGTTGTTATACTGACACAATAAACATTTATTTTCATCCACAACAATCTGTGTTCGCTATGAAAGAAAAAACATTAAAAGCTTTTTATAATCATAACTCTAATATGCCATATGATGATTTAAATGATGTGCGCACAGGTTCCACTTTCAATCAAACCTCCTGCATGGCCCTTAAACGATCGCTCTGTGCAACAAACTGAACGTTTTTTTCAACTTTATTACCTGTTATTCAAAGCCCATGCAGGTTGTGTTCAATAAAGTAGAGGTCATGCGTGCACACGCGCGTTCTTGGCAGTAAACAAACAGTGCGTCAGCTCACGTGCGGTTTCGCAACCGTGAATACATCATTACATGATAAGTGAAATCTGCAAAGTAGCCAACTTAGTTTTTTTATTATTATAGATGTTTTAAGGCTGTAAAACCGAATGTAACATAACGAAGATTTATTTATTCTGTAATGGTGCTCTATAGCTGCGTATTTTTACCTTCCTTTAGCATGTTCTTTTTGTGACATGGTAAGCATTTTCCTCTGCTTTTTAGTTGCTACCGCAAGTGCCTTAGACTGTGCAGAACGTTTTGTCAACATTATGGGATTTGTTGGTGAGAAAACTTGCAAACATACAGTACAGCACTTCACACTGCTAGCGATCAAATATTTCTGTAAATTTGGCAGGCTGAATGCACTCTGTATTGCACAGAAGACAGGGCATAAAGGAGATTGAATGAAAATGGTCGACAGCCAATCAGGATAGCAAAGCGCTAATTTAGTCACAGAACACAATGTGCTGTAAAATAAAGCGTTTCAAATTGCAAAAAAAGGCAGAGAAAGGTGAACCGCATTATAGCAAGGGACCACTGTACCCATTTACTTATACATCTAAAAAGCCATTTTAAAATATTACGAACAACTGTTATAACACTAAAATATGGGCATGGATGGATGGAAGGATGGAAGGATGGGTTGGTTGAGCTGGTTTCTCACCGTGATGAGTGGGTAGTCAGAGGCAGGTCTGGTTTGGCCGAGGCTGGTCTCTTTCAGGTACTGCTCTGCCACAAAAGCCTCTCTCAGGCCTGGGAACAGGTTCTCATACTCTGTGGGGTCTGCCAGAGACTCTGCTGCTTTCTGATTCACTTTAGACAAACTCTCTCTCCAAAGCTTCACCACTCTGAAAGCAAACAGTGCATATTTGTGTTAAAAAAATAAATAAGAATTACATACATACATACATATATATATATATATATATATATATATATATATATATATATATATATATATATATATATATATATATATATACACATATATATATATATACATATACATATATATATATATATATATATACACATATATATATATATATATATACATATACATATATATATATATATATATATATATATATATACACACACACATATATATATATACATATACATATATATATATATATATATACACATATATATACATATACATATACATATATATATATATATACACACATATATATATATATATACATATACATATATATATATATATATACATACATATATCTCAATGATTCATAATCGATTAATTTCAATGTTGTGCTGTAATGTGTATTTATATAGTGCACTTGAAGCTGTCAATCACTTTTTCCACAGGACTCTGGCATGAATAGGCAGAGTGATCAGTATCGTAATAATGGCGTCAACAAACTTGATTGGTAAAAAAAAAAAGTTCCCAACAACAGTATCTGAAGTTTTCGCTAAAATTACCAAGTACAAGCATGAAAGTGAAAGATTGAAGCAGTGTACTGACACTGTGACGATTAGATAGAGACAAGTTAAATTAAATAGCACGTTTAACAAATACAGTGAGAGGTGATCCAGTAGTACATCCTTGATAAACAGTTTGATATGCACTGCTTTCTGGGGTTTTGTGCTCAATGCACCCACTGACTGCCTGGAGCTCAGATGTGCACGTATGCCTGTATGTGGTCAAGTGATGTGCGTTTACAATGGTATTTGGGGTTTTCAGAAATGCTAGATGAAACGTCAGTGTGGACGTGGAACGTTTTTAATTCAAAATGCCATTTTAAAACTAGGACGCATTACTGTAAATGGGGCTTAAATGTGTATTTTTTGCAAGTGGGTTGCTACTGGACACAGAGGAGGATCACGATGCTGGCTCAGCATCTTGATATCTATGGCATCATCAATCGACCAAACCCGAAATGAATGAATGAAATAAAGAAGGAGAGAAAGAAAAATTGAATATGAATACAGACCTGGAAACTTGACTGGGTAGATATGTGCGGGCAAGAAAGGCTGCTTCTGGCAGACGATTGGTCTTGATCAGAAGTTCCAAACAGTTGTCCAATCTGGCAAAAACAAACAAAACTCAAAATAATGCTAAAATACCTTCAACATGATTTCTCTGAAATTAAAATGCACAATGTTAACACATCTATACTGCATACATCTGTTTAAATATCAGTGTGTGTATTTCTTTTCTACAATCACACTTACTTTCCCTGCAGGAAGTATGTCATAAAGGCGACATTGTTTTTGCCGTCCCGCTCTGCTCCCTCCGCAAGCTTGGCAACCATAGAGGCGTTGCCAGATGCAGTGGCCAGAAGCAGAAGACCTCCATAGTCCTGGGCATGATGAAGACACTCCTGTGCCAGTCCAAACTGGCACTTACTGATGGCCAGCTCTGCCAACTGCTTCCACTTCTGCTCCGACTGCACAAGAAAAACAGCAACATTAGCAGTCAACATTATAATAAAAGTCAGCTGTTGTTAATTTTTTTCTATTTTGAAGAATTCTGAAAACCATTGACCATCATAGTGAGAGAAAAAAAAACAAACACAAGTCAACGTCTACCGATTTCCAGCATTCTTCAACATATCTTCTTTTGTGTTTAAGACAAAACCACTTGAAGGTAAATAAATGACAGAATTTAGATGTTTGATACTAGTATGTGTTACAAATAAAATGGTGCGCAACTGAGCTCAACCGCCACTAGGGGAGCCGTTTCATTAGAGTATATTAACAAACCTCAGCTTCTACTGCAAGCTGGTATGCGATTTTCAGCTCTCCTAACTGAAGCGCCAGCTCAAAGCGGTGCTCTGGATCAGTGGACACAGCCAGAGCCTGCTGCTTGAAACCCTGTACGCACACAGAAAAATATCATATAAAGGCACTAACTCTAAAATAACTTAGTCTAACTCTGCTAGTGCAAAATTGTCAAGTTTTACCTGTTTCTCTAAGAAGTGGGCAACTCTGGTTCTCTGTTCTTTAGGGATGGTGGGCAGCACTTTATCTGCCATGCCAAAGTCTCTGCGCATGACGGCAGTTTGGTACTCCAGGACAGACACCAGGAGAGAATAACTAACAATGTTCAGCTCCTTATCACCCAGGTAAAGACGGTCATCTTTAGGAATGTATCCCAGAAGGTACATCGTTCTAAGAAGAAGTTACTGTTAGACTGAATTTAAAACAAAGAAACCTTTATTCTAGGTTTATTTTTTAATTATTTGGAAACATGAACACTTCTGTAAGTCTGAGAAGGCGTTTTTAATTTCCCAAATGTGTTTCATCTCAAATAAATGCTGAACTTTTGAGCTTTTCTTCCATAACAAATACAAAAATTAAATAAATAAATTGAACGCGACAGAAATATTAAGGGCCACAACTTAATAAATGCTTTCAAATTCTGCTTTGCCATCACAGCAATTAAATACATTAAAAGAAGAAAATACAAAAGAGGCTCTTTAAATTGTAAAAACTCAAATGTAGCCCTGACAAGAACTAGTGTTGAAAAACTAATGTTTTTTTTTTTCTGACAGTACCTGTCCAAGTGAGCAATGGTGACAATCTCTCCTCCAACAAAGTAGTTGAGGCGGTTGACTGAGCTGGTGTAGATGAAACAATCTCCCACCCACAGACCAGTCTTCACCACCTCCTGAATCTCTCCCAGAACCTGCACATAAACAACAACAAGAGCTCAGACGTCCGATTTCAAAATGTTGGCTTCTCATTATATTATGAGACGTTAAATATTAGGTACTGGCATCCAAAAAAATATATAAAAAATGTAATTATAATATTCATTTTGTATTGCACAACACTTATGGTGCTCTTAAGCTGGGACACAGATATGTTTAAGGACAGTCTTGGTGGTATAGGTAAGTCTAAGGTTGGATTAAGGTGTAATGAATGGGTCAATGGTGTATATGCAGATCATTAACATGCATGTAAATAATACATGCTTTGTACCCTACGGTCTTGATAAAAATTTAGGTTATATTTAGGGATGTCGAGTAGATTCCTGGTCATGGTGATCAGCCGATAACAAGTTCTGATTCTGATGCTTCAAGCTTTATATAACTATGCCATTGCATGAAAGCACATTTTCCCTCTAAGGATGATGCTTAAGTGGAGATCTCATCTTACCTAAGAGAATGAATAAAGGATGTTGCATGTAATGCCTAAAATATATACATAATGAATATATAAATAAATGCATCTCTTAAAACCATTTAGTGTGGAGATGCCATTGTCAGAAGCAGCTTTACAGAAAATAAAACAAATTTAAAAATTGTAAGAAAGATGTCTAACAATGCAATTTGGAAACATTGCAAATGATGGAGGGCTACTTTAACATGTCTCAAAGAAAAAGTTGAGTGCATATTTGATGCATAAGAAGTTAAGGCACACATTTAAATCCATTACTAAAAGGAAATAGGCCTATAAACTATAGTGTACTGCAATAAGTATATTTCAAGAATTTATATTCTCTATATTAAGTATTGAAGTTTTGAAGCTTTGTTTTTTATTTCCTAATACTTCCAGCCAGGTTTAATGAACTTATTAACACTAACACAATAGCATCAAAAACACAGTACTTTCAGTTCTTGCATGTAAAATGGCCTGAACACATTCAAGGCAATTCAAATAATTAGCTTATTAACTATTAATAGCACCACGATGACCACAGCTCCTCACACCAGCTGGATCGGATAAGAGAGAAGGGGGTTTGCACTTTACTGCTCTATTCACTTACTTAACAAATGTAATGGTTAGCAACATCACTGTTCCTCTTGCGATCTGTTCTCTTACTCATTCGCTCTCATCGCCGTGATTTCAGCTATAAATCAAGATTACTGCTATCAATATGCGCGAGACTCGTCAATCTCTTCAACAGACTGTATAAATTGCATAATTTTCCTGCGCAGGTGCGTCTTACTGTACTAAACAAACACTTTCGATTGCTACATGAGTTCGGCCAGATCAGCGAGTACAGATCGAGTCATGAAATGTGAATATTGGCAGATATCAATCTCCAGCGAATCAATCGGAGCATCCCAAGTTATATTGTGAATGATTTTCTTTCAGGCATTTTATTTCAGATGATAAAAAAAAAAATCTACATGCATGGTCTAATTAAGATGCAACAACTTGCTCATTCTCTGAAACGAAATTTGATGCGTTTTGCTAACCTCAAAAGCATCTTCAATACCGTCTTCAGTAACCCCCTCATTGTTCTCCTGTGATGCGGCCACCTTCTCTGACAGGTAGCGCAGGATAAAGAAGGACTCTTCTGTGGCAATGCACACCAGCTCACCGGAGTCTGACCAGAAAATCTGCAAACACACAAGCAATTGGTTCATGATTTACACAATCATCCACAAAATAAAACAAACAAATAGTGGAGACCTTTAGCAGGTGACTCACATGTTTAGGCTGGATCTCAATTCGTCGAATCAGCTCCGTGTTTTCCCAGTCATAGAAAGCCAAACCATTCACAGATCGAACACCCAGTAGGAAGCCTCCATAAATGCCTGCAAACACCCATTCATTTAAATTAAAGACCACCATGTTTGTACTGCATTCAATGAACGGAACTGATCATGCAGTATTTGTCATCCATTTACCTTCTGCTCCAAAATCTGGCTTAAAAGATTTTTTCTCCTTAAAATTTTTGAAGATCTTCACCACACTGCTGCTTTCCCGGATTGCATACCTTCATTTAAAACAAGTCGGTATTAATTGTTTCGCACAGTCATTAATGAGTTTATACCTCTAAACAGATGTCTTAACTATATGCACTATATGCTTACTCGGATGAATCATGGGCCCAAACAAACTCCTGTGCAGAACCAAAGCTCTTGTTTCTCAGAGCCATGGCGGTGTAGATGATGTACTCTCCATCTCCACACACCACCACAAACCTAAACAACAGGATTAAATGAATGGTGGGATGCTGAGAGGTTAATCAGCCCATTAACACTGGAGCAAGGATCAGCCTGGATGCAAATCAGCTTAATAGCCTTACCTGCCGTTAGGATTGTGCTGGATGGTTTGAGGGTAGATCTCACAGCTGCCCATGTCCTTGACTGCCAGTGGCAGCCTCTCACCATCCTTGATTTCTGCATCCCCCATGGCTTTGAGGTTTGCCTGCTGAATCTCAGAGTGCTTGGCCCAAATGATCTTTCCGTTGGTGTCCATTGACATGGCTGGCTCCTCACGGCCGAGCTGAAATACAAATGTAAACCAGATAACTTAACTACACGTCATTTTAGATTAAACTTTATTATCAGATAAAGTTTACTGAAATGTCATGTAAATGTAATGTGTCTGCTATAAATTAAAATTAAATTTCTTTAAATTAATTTAACAACTTTCCACACTTTATGACACCACGGACACTGTTTATATACGGTTGAAGTCCAAATTTTTTTTTTTTCCACAATTTCTGTTTAACCGAGAGAAGATTTTCAACACATTTCTAAACTTAATAGTTTTAATAACTTTTGACATTTAAACGCTTAACTAGGTTAATTAGGTTACCTTGGCAGGTTAGGGTAATTAGGCAAGTTATTGTATAACGATGGTTTGTTCAGTAGACTATCGAAAAAAATATATAGCTTTAATGGGCTAATAATGTTGACCTTAAAATGTTTTTTAAAAATTTAAAAATTGCTTTAATTCTAGCCAAAATAAAACAAATAATACTTTCTCCAGAAGAAAAAAATATTATTAGACATACTGTGAAAATTTCCTTGCTCTGTTAAACATCATTTGAAAAATATTTAAAAAACAGAAAAAAATTCAAAGGGGGGATAATAATTCTGACTTCAATTGTATATGAAAAACATTAAATTAAAGTGTCAGCTTTGTTTTGAATAAATTACATAAAAAAAATGTGTGGCCATCTTTCAGGGTAGCTTATATTTAGACACGTGCCATGTTAAAAATTAAACACCACATGTTTATTTATTTTAAAAAAGCATATATAAAATTGGTAAACTTAATGATAGTGGCAAAATATAAAGATGTAAAGTGAGGATTAATTACTATTAGCTGCACTGTGATTCTAATTTGTCACCAAATGATTGCAGTTCTTCATATGCCAGACAAGTGTTTTGGTATATAAACCTTCGTTATGGTTTCTGGCATTTTAGTGAGCATCTTCTGTAAATCATGGTAAAAGGATAGATATTATCATTAAAAAAAGACAATAAAACACAATCTAATATACAGGAGTCAATTTTTATATAATTTAACATTAAATTAAATAAAGTTTCATATAAAAATTATTTTTACTTGCTCCATCCAAAAAAAAAAAAAAAAAGATTTTGTTCAGTTATTTTTTTATAAATGTTATCCACACATTGGTTGGACTGTTAGTGGCTGAATGGGTTTTGGCCTGAATGGGTAGCGACATAGGAAAGTAAAGACCTGTTTAAAACAATTTAACACAATTCTTCTCTGAATTTAAAACTTTAGAAGTCCTAGTGGACATCGTGTTATAATATTTGCTCATCAAGGCTGCAACTGTTTGATGAAAAATAGCAACATTATAAAACATCATTACAATTTAAATCAACTGCCATTTAAAAAAAATAAAAAATAAATAAATCTAAATTAAAAAATTAATTCTACAGCACAAATCCACAATCTGGTTAACAGTAAATTACCTTAATATATAAGGTTAATAACTGTAAACTGACTCTCAAAATTCCCTGCATGCCACTTTACTTTAATGCCTTGTTGACATTGCTTTAGCTTGTTTGTTGCTTTTTTCTCATCAGTTATGTAGATTAGAGTTTTGTGTTACATCTAAGGTTGAGAAATAAGGTGGGCATCTTCTGTTAATCATGGTAAAAGTCATTATTATGAAAAAAATGAATAAAAATAGATTGCGATCTAATATACAAAAGTCAATTTTATATAATTTAACATTTTATTTAAATTATTCCTAAGATGGCAACCTTATTTTACAGCAGCCATTCAATCAGTTACCAGGGTTTCTGCAGGTTTCACCAAGTTAAATTTAAGACTTTACAACGTTTTAGGACCATTATGAATGAAATTTTAGACTCAAAGGGCTAAAGGGAAAGGAATTTTTCAAACGGCCCAGATGGTAGAGATTTTTTTTGACCTTTCAAAAATATATATTACAATTTAATATATTTAATAATACAATGACAAATTAATAATAAATTTTTTAAAATATTTTAGATATTTCCTAGCAAAATATTTTAAATATTGTATAAAAAAAACAAAGCTCTACTTGTATCCATACACTTTTTTCCAACATAAACTTTCTTTAAAATAATTTTTAAAAAGTTTTAAGTTTTAAAAACTATAATAAAATAAATCTATGCACGACAATCTGTCCAGGTCAGCAGTAAATACATGGAGCACTTTTAAACAGGTGTTATTGTAAGGAAAATAATAACGCCATTATAATAAATAGAGTTAAAATTTACCTTTTTAAATAAAAAGTTTAAAGTTTTATTGAGATTGGCCAGACGAGGTAGCTATACATGAACAAAGAAAAATTAAGACCCATTTAAAAAAAGATTTAAGACCTACAACACAATATTTCAGTAAATTTAAGACTCTTTAAGGCCTAAAAATTTTGGGATTTAAGGCATTTTAAAACTTTAAGACTCAGCAGAAACCTTTCAGAATTACCATTCTGTTTTTTTATTTTTTGTCCTACTTAGTAATATTGTGAAAACTGACTCTTTGGATTCTTTCATGAACAAAATTCAAAAGAACGTTTTATTCTAAAATAAGGATCTTTTGTAACTTTATGTATCCTCTGCAACTGACTGCTGTCAGCATTGGCCCTGGATCAATCTGATAGCTCTCTTCTAAAGGTACTAAACTTTGCAATTAGCAACCCAGAGCTTTAGCTGGCATGACACACCACTGACAGGCAACAGCATGGTGTGACTTTGTATTATTTTTAGTACCTTGATAATGATGCTGCCTTCATCATAGCCCAATGCGACGCTGTTGGAGCCCCGCAAGCCAGACACACACCAAACCCGCTCCATTCCATAGTTCAAGGTGCTTTCTAGACGGTAAGTGCTGGAGTGCCAGATCCGGACTGTGCCTGAATAACAAAGTTACAGGAAGCTTTAAAGATTGAAGTGTTGCTTTTTTTTCGGTTTATAATGTCTCAGTTTAATGTGCAGAAACCATTGGCTTTTAAAATATTATTTTGCCATATTTTTTTCATTTTTCTTTTTAAAATTACAATCCATTTACACCTGGAATAGGAGAAGCAATTTTATCCACCTTTTTCCTATACCAAATAATGCTTTGTGAGATTCATGAGTAACTTTCAATAGTGAAGTTATTGGAACTTATTAGAACTAACAAATATTTGAAAATTACTGTACTGCAGGGAATATGATGAGAAAGATACGATACACTCAAAAAAGCTTTAGTCACAGATAAGCTTATATACATTAAAACCTCAAGCATAATGTTAGTTTTTTAAAAAGACAGCTATGCAGGGTGCAAACTATGGGGGACCTAATTAAAGCATGGGCTCCCCTAAAAACATGATTTGTGAATTTTTTTGAAAAAATATTTACCATGTGTTATTTTGACATGCGGTTTCAGTATTGTGTAATGTGATCATAGATTATTATGTGTAAAAGTACAATAATATCATTCATTTATGCATGACGACAATTTACACCTCATTTAAAAAAAAAAAAAAAAAAAAATTAACCACAAGCTATTCCTGTCATGAGCATCAAGGTGGCACTGTGGGTGCACCGCAAAGCAAAGTTCACTTATGTCAAAAACTGACAGCCAGATGCTTTCATATGGACGTTAAGACACTGCTTATGCATTTCCCGGAACAAATGATGTAATGTTTTTTTTTGTTTTATTTGCTTAATACAGGCCAAAACAATGTTCTTTTTTAACACTGTGAAGCAGAATGAACACAGAACCCCTTTCAATGTTGTTTCTTTCATTTTCGAATTCGCGATAATGATTTACCAGAGTGAAAACTAAGATCCCATGACATTTTATAGGTCTATGTAAAGTATATGTAGGCTCTTCCTTAATGCCATCATCTTAGACTTATAGAGTGAATAGAAAAATGATAGGCTACATGACAAGGTTATTTACTTATTTTTGATGTTAAGTGAAACATATTCGTGTTTGTTGACTTTATATAAATAAATGTATTCCCCTTACAGAAGCACTGCAGGTATAATTAGACAACAATAGCTATGTTTCCATCCACCTATTTTATGCGCATTTTGCAAATTTGCATAAAAAAAACAGTTGATGGAAACGCCATGATGCGCATAAATTAAAAAAAAAAACACGTAAAAAACTTATGCGCCTAACTGGGTAGGATAAACTTTTTATTCGATAGGAGAAGATGCGCATAAACTGCGATGGAAACACTTTTACCACACAAACTCCAGCATGCGCATTAAAAAAGGTCATGTGACTTTGTTGAAAGAGATCACGTGATGCTTAAAATGTGTGTGAACAGATAAAACATCAGGCTGAGCACATTATAAAACATCTGAAATGTTATTTTGGTCATTATAAAACACCTTCCAATTTCAGTATTAATGTTATTATGTTATTAATGACCTCCAGAATCAAGAGCGACTGTGCTCCGCGTCTGACACCTTCAAACGCCACTGCGCGCTCACTGCTTGTCAGGATTGTCTTCTGAGGCGCATTGATTTAAAAAAGATTCATGCAGCTTCTCCTACTGCAGCAAATGCAGTTTTTACTGTTCATATTTGGTGCCAGTTAATCAGGAAGTGACGATTTTTTTCGCTTTGACTCGTTGGATGGAAACGATGCTTCATTCGCACAACTTTTATGCGATAATCGAGTTTTGCGCATAAAGTTTATTCGCATTTTGGATGGAAACATAGCTATAGTTCTGTTGTTTAGGCTGCTGTTGTTTGTGCATGTAAAAATAAATCCCTAAAAAGATATTTTCAAGGGTCAAAGAAAGTTATTGATGTAAAAACAGGCACTTTGGAGCGACAAAGTAAACCAAAACTATCATGGTGTTTTGTTCATTTAGCCCACATTGTAATAATAGTTACAATTATATAAATATTTGTTTTATATTTATAGATATTTTTTGTTTATATATAGCCGTTTAAGGACAGGGATCCAGCGTCTTGTATAGCCCACATCATTGTGGCAAGGGACTCTCTAGATCACATTTTTTTTTCAATAAAATGTCTAAATAATCATAAATGTGTTTCATAACTGACCGTCCTCAGATCCAGTGATGATGATGGGCAGCTCTGGGTGAAAGTTTACACAGGACACATTCTGAGCATGTCCCTCGAGCGTCTGCACACATGTCTTATTCTAAAAAGAAAGAGATCCAAAGAGATGTAAATAAATAGCCAAGAATGACCTGCTGCATTGAGCATATCAATATCATTTATACCTGATAGTCCCAAATTTTGACCAGTCTGTCATCGGCTCCGGAGATGAGGTAAGGTTTATCTCCTCCACTGTAATAATCAATGCAGTTCACCCCCTTATCATGACCTTCCAGAGTGAAGTTGGGAGAAGATGAACCCAGTTGCCAAACCTGAAACATGACAAAGAAGATAATGTCAGATGGAAGAAAATGTCATAAGTCTTATTTGAATATCCTTCATTCATGAAAGTTCAATTTTACCTTTATTGTTCTGTCCAGCGACGCACTAGCAAACTGGTTGTTGTCTTTGGGGTTGATGACGATTTGCATCACGTAGTGTGTGTGGCCCTCAAACACCTGACTGCACGACCATTTCTTCTCCCAGTCCCACAGCTTTATCAACATGTCATCTACACAAACATATACACCCAATGAGTGTTAAAAAGTCAAATTCAAGACCTTTTAAAGACCATAATGGATGAAATTCAATTCAGCTGAAGGCAGATTTTCAGCTCATCGAGTCTATTTATTTACTTATATGTAATGTGTAAATGTATATTTATTCAGTTTTTAAATTAATTACAGTAATATTATTGACTAATATAAAAATGTTCGTATGATTTATTTACAATACAGTTTGTAAAACAATATTTTTATAAACAGTCTTTTAGTATATATATCAAGAGACTTGCTTTGTTTACCAAATAAGTTGATCTAATTGGATTTGCATTGTAAACATCAAATAAGTTAAAAGGGTAGTATTTTTTATTTTATATATTAAGTTTTTATTTACGATACTCTCCAAATCATTCCCCCATAAATGTACAGATTTTTTTTTTTTTTTACAAAATTCTGCAGAAATAGCAGAATGCAACTGAAAAATAGCAAAAAATGTCCGCAGATTCCTTCTGGCCCTACTAATGACCCGGTTGGGCCAGTTGAAAAGATTTTTACTTGCTCCGTCTCCAAAAATTAAAATGGAGTTATTTATCATAAATATTAATACACACATTCTTTAAAACAATTTATAAAAACTGAGAAGATTTAAAAACAACACTAAACTAAATCTACGCACAATAAAATTGTCTGTCCTTCTCATTGTAGCTATAAATCATAAACCTTTAAACAAATATTATTGTTAGGAAGATAATTAAAACATTTTGGTAAATATTTAATAAATAAAACTGTGGATTAAAATGGAATGTTGGTAATTGAATGCTTAAATTAAAAAGCCTACAACACAATTCTTATGCTAATTTGAGATTTTTGTTTTGTTTGTTTATGGAATTTAAGGTGTTTTAAGTCACCATGGACACCCTGCTATTAGATTTGCTCATCAATACTGCAATTGTTTGATGGAAAATAGCAACACTATAAAACATCATTACAATTTAAATCAACTGTAATCGAAATGATAAAAAAAACTGTAAAAATTCTACAGTAAAATTCCATAACCTGGTTAACTGTAAGTTTCCTTAATATATACGGTTAATAACTGTAAATTGACTTTCCCAGAATTCCCTGCATGACATTTCACTTTTTATGCCTTTTTGTTGACATTGATATAGTTTTTTTGTGCCTTTTTTCTCCTTAGTTATGCACATTGAACTTTTATGTTAGAAAAATAATGTTTATTGCATTCATAGATTATGCTGTTTAGTAATTGTGTGCATGACACAGAGCGTCTTCTAAACATTAGTAAGTTCTGGCCTATCAACCACAGCTGCTTTTTTTACTGTAAATTTAGCTGATTTTGTTCTACTGTGCATAAATAAATAAATGACTTTTTTTTTTATGTGACGCAAAGCTCAATTTTCAGAAGCAGCCATTTCATAAGTATCTGTTCATGTTATGATCAAAATTATTTCTATATGCTGATTTGACGCTTAAAATAAATTTCTTATAAACATCAATGATGAAAATTTGTTGTTTTGAACCTGAATCACTTAATTTTTTTTTAAAAGGTCCTTATTAAGGTTAATATATACATTTATATTAAATCTTTCAGATATACACACAATATAATACGCCATATAAATCATAAACTATAAAATGTGACAGAGGACACCAGGGCTTGTCATTCAAACACAAGTAAATTATTAGACTTATCCATGCCATAATAAGGCTTAGGTCAAAGAAAATGTACTAAAAAGCTTTAAGTTAATAATGTAAATGTAATAAATGTGAATTACAGTCACTTTGGATAAACTTAATATACTAACATCAGATTTCTGACATCAGATTTTTGAATAGCAGCATAAAATATAAAAGTACACAGTGTATTTTATTATATGCAAAATAAATGCTTAATGAATATCTGTACATACCACTGCTTGTGAGGATGTAGGGCTGGGTGGGATGCACAGCGATGCAGCGAATATAATCTGAATGGGCCTCAAACATGTGTACTCGCTCTAGAGTGTTGTAGTTGAAAACTCGGATTTGCATGTCATCCTAGAAAAAAAGGGGGAAAAGTATTCAGAGATGCAATAATAATAATAAAAATGACAATAATATAACAACCCTATTATTTTGCATGCACTACTACATCTTAATAATAATATATATACTTACAGCGCCAGTTATGACCCAATTTTTCCTGGCAACAAACTTGGAAGCTCTCACCGGAAGGTCACAAACCTCAAAAGTCTTAACCAGAGTCTGAGAAAGAGCAATGCAAGCGATTATTAAACAAAAATGCAATAGGCCATGCTGTAATGCTATACGTTAAGATCAGATGAACTATAAAAAAAAAAAAATAAAAAAAAAAAAAGATATTCACTTGTGTTTCATGGTTCCACACACAGACACTGCCATTGTACAAACTGGCCAGCATCCATGGTTCGGACGGATGAAGGTCTACGCTTTTGACACGGTCAGATCGAGCCGTGAGTTTGCGCTTGATGTCCAGCCTCAGAGGCTAAAAGGGAACAAACATTATTAATAATTATTACATCAGCTATTTAGTCAAAAGCAGAAATTATACATCAGTACTCTGAAAGTAAAATAAATTTAGTTATAAATTTAGGGGGGGGGGGGGGGGTACAAAAAATTACGTCTGAACTAAAAAGTAAAAGTTTAAAGAGTTTAAAGTAAAAAAAAATGTGTTAAATAAAAATAGAAAATAAAATAGAAGAATATAATAAAGAATAAAAAGCAATACAGAATACTAACTGATATAAGTGAACTGAATTGTATCTATAATGTGAAGCAGTCCATAATGGTAAAGCAGTCCACACAAACACTCTATGTAAACCATCATTAAAAAAACAGATTTAAGAAAAGAAAGAAGCGACATTTTGAAATTCAATCTCAATATTATTTTCCCAATGACAACAAAACCACTTGTTTTTTGTAAGCTACATAAAAGGATTCAGAAGCTAACATTCACAGCAACATACTAAATAAATAATGATAGAATATAATAATGAGTATATTAATAAAAACACAATAACGGCGCTATTGAAAAGTATATAGATCCAACATAAATGTGTTGTTGTATAACTATTAACGTGTAAGTTACTTCTCTTAGTGTTAGAGTTACATTCATATCATCAGCTGTTAGCCAGAATATCAGATATTACGTCATAACAACATTTAAGCGGACAATGAATGTCAAATACATGTATTATTAAAGCCTTATGTGTTAATAATACTTTAAAATAAGGCTGAAAATAATCGAATCATTCTCACTGACTGAATGAGAGATGTCTATGTGGCCATTCTGAGGGCCTCGGAGGCTAACAGCGCAAGCTAACGTGATTGAAAGCGTATTTTCCTTTAACATCAACGAAACTGCGCTAATGCTCTCCGTAAAATTAATACTAAAGTTAGACTCACCATTTTTGCGTTTGTTGGGTTTGGTCTCCTTCAGCTGCAATGTTTTTATATCATCCACAGTGAGAGTCTGATGTGTTTTTACGGCTGCAGTTTTGTGCACAGCAGACAAATGTGACGTGGAACTTCCTCAATGCAGTTGCGCTTGACGTCGGCAGCGTTGACGTGACACTCTGATGGCTTCGGCATGTTTCGGATGATTTCGATTAAACCCGGCCGGTGACGATATGCGCTTGAGCTTAACCCTCTCCTCTCTTTGATGAAGTTTTTTTTCTGTGATTCTTATTTCCCAAATTCTAAACAAAATAATTATTTTCCTCTAAAGGCAACAGTTTTCACCGAAGCATGCTAATTAAGTACAAGCCACTTTATAATTCACAGTGATAAACAATACACTGTCATTTCTTTGTGACACTTTGTGGTTGTTGTATTTTATTTAAATAACCATTTCTCCACCAAGTACTTTTTTTCTCAGTTATGTACACTAAATTTTTATGCTAGGCCTATAGTTCTAATCTTAAATTAATGTTTATGGAATTATTTAAATTTTTAATGATGATATACTGTCCTGCCTGCCTGACTTGCTGGAATCTTCCAGAATTTGAAACATTGTTATTTATTTTTATTCTGTTTTCTTCACCCATGTTTTAATGTTTTATGTATGCCGGAGATGCCGAAAATAGAGCCTGCAGGCCAAAGCTGGCCCTTTGTATCTTTTGATTTAGCCTGCCAGAGGGAAAATTATTAGGACGGATTGGGGAATGCCTTTAACAGAAATTCTCATTTATATTTTAATGTGACCTTTTGTTTGTTTTTTTATTGTTGAGGTACAAAAAAGCTAACTGAAATTAAATGTTTCAATTAAATGTAAATAAATCAGATTTAAAATAAAATGTACATAGTCACTTAATGAATAGGGGACACAGCAGAAGACATCAGCGTGCAAATCAAGGCAAAGGCAGGTTCAGCATGACTAGTGTATTCAGCATTGAACTTCATTGTATTATACATTGATTTTTTATTGGTTTTATTGTAATAAGTTCATTAGAACGCATTTGTAAATGCGGTTAAAGTATTTTTTGTTTTTATTTACAGTTTGAAATGAATTAGTAAATTACCCATGGCAACTTTAATGCAATACAGTTTGCTATATTACAGCTCATAATCAAGCTTGGATTTTAGCCTCTCATAAGAAAAAAAAAAAAAAATTGTGAATACCTGATCTATTCTATCAGCTACCTTTACACAATTTACATTTCAAAAAGCATTACAAAATAAAAATCTATTGAATTAAATGATGATGATATTATATCTGTGTGAATGACTGTGTGCTTACATTTTTGTTACACTTGATTCTTTATATAGATTTTTCTTTTATCACCTCTAATACTTGTGATTATGAAACAGATTTCTGCAGCAGTGTGTGCTGTTGGATTACAGAAGTATAAAATACCGTAAAATTTACAAGTTGTTAACATTTTGACATTATGTTTGCAGAATAATTCTCACAACCACATCTGCTATTTTTTCTTTTTGCATTGTATTATATGTTACAGATGCATCGGATTCAGTTACATGTAAAAATTCCCATTTCTCTTTATTCAAACAGAAGAAAACAAATATTCAGAGAAATGTATTTCAGTCTTTCATCAGTAAAATGAGAAGTTAACAGCTTTTTTGATGGACCTAAATCATATAGTCACATCACAAATCAGTCTTTTCGCTTGTACACTTGCTGGCACACAGCATCTTCACATGTCAGCTCCTGCAAGTCAAATGATCATGAGGTCAACGTGCATTCCTTGTGAGCACAGAGTAGTACAGCAATTGTTTGGCAAATAATAAGGTTTAGGAGACAGAGCTTTCATTTCTTTGATTAACTTATTCATTAAACCCCCCCAAAAAAGTCACATTAATCTGGTTGTTGTTATCATGTGCAATGCTCACCAAATAAAGTTTGTTTCCTTCTATCCAATGTTTCCATCCCCGATTGGCTTTCTCACCCTTTTGAACGGCCACCAATTTGTCCCCTTCCCAGGTCACCAGAGTCTATGAAAAAATATATAATAAACCTTAAACCCAAACCAGCCTGCAAAAAGTTAATGATTTTAATTAACTGAAAAAAAAATTAAACATTTATATTTACTCAAATTGTTTTCTAAAGACGAGCTATAACTGTTATTTTATTAACACAATATTTAATGTATAATTTGTAGATAATAAAGCTATGTTCAGATGATATCAGTATTTGTCCATCTAGGTAAAAGTTGAGCTGTGTACTCTATTTGTTTTACTCTTCAGCACTGAACAAACGGACTAAGATCATGGCCAGGAGGCCGGATGAGGTAAATACAGGTTAAAATAACGTTACGTTATATGACAGCAATGAAAAGAAAAAGAAGAAAAAAGTTCACCTTCAATGCCCTGTTGTCAAATCCCTTAGTAGATTCTTCTTTCTCAACTCCAATAGTGAAGCTCAGCTCATAGTTTTTAAAGGTGCTCTGTGTCTTGATCACAAAATTGTCCCCATCCTGGGTAAAGATCTTTGTTGGAGTGAGGTGAACTGCAATCTTGCGGATGGCAAAGTCAATGTCTATGAGATTAAATACTGGTCAGTTTCATGATGCATATCATAGTTTAAATGTATCTTACATCTGCATAATAATTATTTAAAAAACAGAACACATATGTTTTCTATTCTGATTACTTGATTACATAACTTTTCCAGCTTACCCAGTGCTTTAAGGTAATTTTCAAGATTTTTACTTGACTCCAGCTCCCATTTTCCAGTGAAATCTACAGGCATGGTTACTGCTGTGTGGACTTCAGTAGGCTGGTGGTCAAAAAGAGGTGATGAACTAAACCTTTTATACTTAACTGTTTATACACAATGAGGCAAGAGGGCAAAGTAATGATAAGAGAGATCTCTGACCTAATAGGAGAAGAGAAAACCTCTTTACCTATAACCTATTGAAAAAAACAGGTCAAAATATATTCAAAGCACTATACAGTGTGATAACCTGCATAGATGACTTATCACTGGACACTAGACAATGTTATTGCTATTTCCTTTGGGATCTTTTAATGATTATTTGTTCTTTTACCCCTGAGTCCATTGCACCCTCACTGCTGAGTTTGCTCACTGTTTTGTCCCAAGTCAATGTTTCCTGTGCACATGGAAAGAAAACATTATATAAGGTGCGTTGTGTTGTTCTGTGCTCATTTGAGTGCATCAAAATTCACTAAACAATAAACACTAAACATTTGCACACTAAGCTATTTGGGGAAAAATATGGTGTAGACACTTGTATGATAAAGTTTGTATTAGATGTTACAATACATGGTTATGTCCCATTGTATTTAACTGTATTACCATAGTAGTTGACGCATTATCAAAAGCTGGGTGCACAACTCAAGTTTGCTATTGCATAATCATGTCACTACCTAAAAAAATTATTAAGCCTTATAAGTGATTGTCAGTCACATTTTCAGAATAAGCACACACTGCATTTTGTATGCATCTTTAAAAACATTAGATACACATAATGTGATCAATAAAAACCTAAAAAAGGTACATCAGGCAAAGCAAACATACTGTATACATCCATTAATCAGATTTGTAAAATGATGTTTTTAAAGAAAGTAATTACCCGTTTCATACTAATACTTCACACTGCAAAAAACGTAACACATATCCACTTAGTTGCCCTAGAAAAAGATTAATTGACAACTGAAGCAAACAAAGAGCTTAAATTCTAAAACTTATCAAGGAAAATAATCAATAATCAATGTGAGGTCAGTGGTTAGTTACCATAGTTGCCTCACAGCAAAAAGGTCACTAGTTCAAGTCCGGGCTGAACCAGGAACCAAGAGTCTGTGTTTAGTTAGCATGTCCCTCCTATGTCTGCGTGGGGTTCGTCCAGGTGCTTCGTTTTACCCCACAGTCCAAAGACATGCAGTATATGTGAATTGGATAGACTAAATAAATTGGAATTGGAAAAACTAAAACAACTAATCGACAACCAATGAAACTTGAGAACTTAGGAAGGCAAAACAGAAACTGAAAAGGGAAAAGAAAACCAAAGCAGAAACAAAAGAATATACACAACAGAACTTCCACTTCCATAAACAAAACTGTAGAACAATCCAAGAGAGAAGGGGTCATGAGCTCTTGAGGACAACACAAAGCATGGATGAATGGAGAAACCATTGGGGAAATTAAGAATGGAGAGCAAAAGACAAACAAGGTGTCACCTCTGGGCACCCGCAGAAAGGAAAAGGATTGCAAAAGTTATCAAACACATAAATTTATTGATAAACACTCACGTCGAAGAACTTAGGAAACACAGGAGACTCAGGAACAACAATGGGGTGTGGATGAAGCATAACCAAGAATACCAGACAATGACTGAACAAAACACAGGACTACAAATGCACCATGATATTTTTCTGCCCACTGAATAGTTGAGAGCAGAGATGAGCCACAGTGGAGACACCATGGGGATGAGCAATGGAGAAGTGTAGGGTTGCAGGGGCACAGACGGATTGGGTCCAATCTGTGCAAATGGAGCCAATGATGTGGAGTGATAGGGAGACACTGGATGCCTGGAGGGCCAAGGCAGAGCAACAGACACAGATACAAGGAGGTATGTTGAGACATAAGCTTAGGAAGGAAGGCAGGCAGATACAACGGAGGACCAAGGTGGAGCCTGAAGGAAAAAGGTGGCTGACAGGATTAGAGTGAAGGAGGGATGAGATGTAGCCAACAGCTGTGATAGAGACACAGATGGAGGTGGAGACCAAGGTAGGTAACAGGGCTGAGGCTTGGGAAGGTGAGGGCTCAGCATGTTGGGGCAAAGCAAGTTCCACCAACATGGAGTCGGAGGGAAGGAGCAGGCTGACAAACCCAGGGGAATGAGGTGTAGTAAGAGGACATAAAGACTGCAGTTGAGGCACAAATGGAGTTAATGGAGGGGGAGACCATGGTAAAGCCAAGGAGATAGAGAGCCAGAGTGACACTCAAGGCCAAAAGTGTTCCAAAGGAGTTAAAAACTGTTATAGAGGCAGATTGGTGACTGATCAAGGAAGTGCCAAAAGTGTCCTTAGCAGAAGAATGAAAACTTAAAGTGTAAAACAGAAAGAAATTACTATTTCTTTTAAAAAAATTCTACTGTTGCTCATATTCTCATTGTTTTGACTGAGGTGCCAACTGGCCTAGTGCATAAACAATATTGTGAGTCTATCACCCACTGAGATTCTGCTGCCAGAAAACGGGGCAAGTGGATTGGGGGATTATGCAGCGTCATTATATTTGATCTTCGCTTCTGTGATCAGAGAAATTTATTTGGACTTTATTGTTAAGCATGGAAGACAAGATAAGAAGAAATATGTCAGGAAGAACATGAACAGTTTCCAGCGTTTGATGTCGAGAAGATCAGAATTCCCAACGGCAACTCTTTTTCTTTATTCTGTCACAACTATTCCAGCACTTAGCATATATTCATGAGTCAGACTTTATCTCGAATGCTCCATACAGTGTGTCTTTGAAAAGACCAGTGAAAAAGTAGGACGAATAAGAGAATACAAAGGAAGAATATTTTGGTATTACTCTGAGTAAGCCTATGTGTTTGAGAGGTCTGGAATTAATACATGAAATGAATACCTAAAAAGGATTGATGGATATAAATTCATATAATTTAAATTATATTTAAAACTGCTGTCTCTTTTTGGCTTACAAAGTCACTCTCTTGTAGTAAAGGCAGAAAAGGCTAGGCTATGATCAGCGAGAAAAGATCTCATAAGAAAATTGAAACGACTATGTATCTTTTTTTTTTTAATTTCCCTGTAAGCACATCAAAGTAATTTTTAGTCAGGAAGGAAAGTCAAAACGACCTCATTACTGACAGGTCTCCAACTCCTATTCATGCACTGAACAATTCTCCCTTCACTCTTTCTCTGTATGGCATAAATGGAGGCCTGTTTGACAGCTTTATGATTGCTGCTTTGACTGACTGTTGTGCTGCTGTCAGGCCGAGAATCAAAACAATTACAAACTGACACATCTGCAATGACTGACATGAGTTCATGAGATGTATCGTGCATTGGAATTCACTCCTGCTGACAGAGCTCCTGTACAACAACAACAACAACAACAAAAATAAAACAGAAAAGCATCCCATGACATGAGTAAATGCTCTTTGAGATAATCCAAAGGCTCTAATTGGCTTTAGGATTACAACTTGTGCCCTGTGATTTGAAATTCCACCCTGCACCTTGATGTTGAAACATCAGCGCAGAGGACACGCGTAAGAAAGCAGCCAAAATGTCTCCTGTGGACATGAATGGATATTGGAAAATGACAAGCAATGAAAACTTTGATGAATACATGGAGGCTCTAGGTAGGCTTACACTTCATTTTACATTTATTTATTCATTCTACCCTTGTGAAAATACTTTTCTTTGGTGAACAAGGTATATAGGATTTTACAGAAAATAGCATGTTGGAATAAGGGAAATACGTGGATGCATTTTGTAAAGTTTAAGTACCTCAAGACCTGTTGTTTTTTTTAATCTACAGTAACAATTGGCTCATGTACCATATGCAGCTAAGACTGACCATTTCCATATCTATTTAACTTGCAGATGTGAATGTTGTCATCAGAAAAATTGCCAGCTACCTCATCCTAGATAAGGAGATTGTTCAGAACGGTGATCATTTGTACATCAAGACTCTAACCACATTTAGGAACTACGACATGGAGTTTGATGTTGGAAAGGAGTTTGAGGAGGATTTGGTTGGTGTAGATGACAGGAAATGCATGGTAAGTGGCATCCTTGAATTTAAAGTAGCACTAAAAGTGCAACTAAGCAAGAAAAACATAGGATCAGCAATGCTTTACCTGGGAAACTAAACCTTTTTTGTTTGTTAGCACTATGCTACATAGTGTTTGACAGATAGAACATGCTCCAGGATTAACATATTTGTTGATTCCGGAACAACACTTCTGACCAAAATCGTCTTGTCTTGGCCCTATCCCAATCCCTACCCTGAAATCTAACTCTAAGTCTAACTTACCCATATAATTAGAAAGAATTCTAGTGTAGGTGAGGCAGACTGGTGCCTTAAACTTAAAGTTAATACATTTACACAATATATATTCCTTAAATCTGACTGAAACATGTTCTAGCTGGTGAAATCATGGGATCCCCAATTTGCTTCTGTTGTACTCAGATGGGAACAGTTTTTTTTTTTCCTACACACGTTATATTGTGATGGATGAATCGGTGATTGCCAGTTCTGTAAATAGGATTTACATACAATGACCTATTGAATCTTAAATCCAGGTTAATGCTGCAAACACCTGGTGCTCAGGGAATGTTAGGTCAACTTGCACAGGAATTTTAAAGGAATCGCCTATGTTTAGTATTGCATATGATATTTACCAGGTTTAAATCTTGTCAGTTTAATTTTTCTCTCTCCTTCAAACACAGTGACAGGAGAAAGCTATTTCCCCATGAAAGCTTGCAAAGAACCAATGTTACTCAACAGTTATAACCCTAAACAAAAATCTGGCATGGTTGGAAGGCGTCCCAAAAAGGAAGCTATAAATCCCTGCCCTTGTAAGGGTGGGTAATTTCTGGTCTTTAAGCCTCACTGTTCTTCAAAGTTTAGCTCCATCCCTTATAAAACTTAACTTGACCCTTCAGGATCTCTGTCGCTCACCTCTGCTCTAGTCTCAATCACTAGGTTTACTTGCACACCTTCTGTTAATTGGTCTCAGGTGCCCTCACCCCATCTGGGTCATGTCACTAACTTTCGTTTTGATTCAGAAAGTCGTTTCT